AAGCTCCCTCACGGTTGAAGGGAGGATGTGATCTAGTTTGGCTTTGGACATAAAGGAACCCTTCTAAGACCATTCTGTTTTGTAACTGTAAAAGCAATAGTGTTTCCAGTGAACTTTTCCTAGTTTAAAGCCCTTGGACTTTTTGGTGTTCTTAGAAGTGAACACAAATATTTTGTGTCCGCTGGCTTTGAACTCCTAGCCACTGCTCTGAAACTTACTATAACAGACACATAGCGAAGGATTACTGAATATCAACAGACTTGCCAACAGAAGCCTCACGGCCTCCTGTACATTTGGGCTTTTATTGAGGTGAAACCACAGTGGGCCCTATTGTTCGTAGGAATCCAGGACTTTGATTCAGAGCCAACAGCCCCACATAGGGCTAAAGAATTCAAGTGGGTTTCCCAAGTAATGGTCTTCTTATGATAGGGTTTAAGAAGGGATAACAAAGAGAAGGAGAGCTCTAACGCAAGGGAAAACCACTTCTGGAGAAGAATGCATATATGTCCATAGAGAAGTTTATGAAAAGAACCATCATTGCTCCTGTGGCCTTTTCCTGAGCACTTGTTTGCGTTGTGGGGTAACCTTGCTCTATTCTGTTTCGTTTCTCACCTGCCTTCTGGGAATTTTATTGGGAAGTACACAGCACTGCTCTGGAAATCTCCCATGGTAACAGAGGCCACACACGGTCATAAAGTATATCCTTTGCTGCCGTATCCGTGCAGAGCAGCTTGACTGCCCAGGCTGGCCATACCAGCATCACTGTGAGCGCATAATGGAAATGCGTTCCTCGGTCCCATGATGGGCCTGCAGGCAGGTACTCCTGCTCCGGGTAGTGATTCCGAGAGAGAGAGAGACAGAGAGGCAGAGATGGAAGGTTGCTCCTGGGTGATTTTCAGGGGTCACAGGCCAGGGGGTAGAGCTGACCATTTCTGCCAATGTTCCCTTGGACAGCAGGAACTGTGAACAGCTGGAAAATGCAGGCCTGATGCTCTCTGCTTCATCAGCCATAACAGTAAATCCACTGGATTCTGCTGAATAACACCTGAGCTAGAGGTGTCTGTGTAGGTTTGGAAAGAAATGGTCACTTTGGAGTCAGCTAGAAAGAAAAGTCAGTTAAGTGCTAACCTCCTAATTACGTTGCCCGTATGGGCCCTGGTGACAGATACAGTGGGTTTTACGAACGCTTGCTGAGTATAGCAATGAGTGTACATCATGAGTCTTTCTTAATGGGGCTCTGCAGTCTTTAACTCTTTTATTTGGCAGAGTAGCCTTTTTTGACCCTTGTAGAAAAAAAATCACCTGTCCCGCTCTTGGGCCCAGGTTGGGTGCTTTATGTTTTCCTATCACAGCACCTGTAACACTTCGTTGCCTTTAGTTTCTCTTCTAACTTCCCCTAATAGAACAGAAATTCCTTGAAGCAGGAACCTTGTCTCATCCATCTTCATAGCCCCAGTGTCTCATAGGGGATGCTGAGTAAATAAATGATTTTTTGAGAGGGTTAGAAGTTGACTGTTTCTCAAATTTGGCCTCTTTTGAAATTTTGAAATTAGGCCTCTGTTCAGAGCAGCTCTGAGCGCAAGCGTGCCTACACAGCACCTGCCCCTTTACCAAAATGAGGACACGATTTGGGCTTCAAGCCTGTAATCATGAGCGGTATAGACTCAGACATTCTTAATGTTAGCAATAGGATGGTTAGATGTGTAAACAGAGAAGGAAATGCTTTTTGACCAACGAAGGGACGGGCTGTCTGGTGAGGGGGCAATTCTGCATGCTGGAAGGGCTCAGTACAAAAGAACTCGCCACCTACCAGGGCTATATATGGTTGAGGAGATTCCTGTTTTGAGGAGAGGAGGCTAGTTTGGTGATTCTCCTCAAGGGACAGGGACCTTGTCAGCATCTGTGGTGAGAGAGGAGCCCCAAGAACAATGAGAAAGCTAGTATGGCTGTTCTACAAGTCATAGGGGAAAGGAAGCCCAATACCATTATCTTGACTGGTAGGCACTACGGAAAATACACTGACAGTGTTTTGAGATTTGTAAATGAAACATGGTGAAAAAGACTTGACTACTGTTTTCTCGGTCCTTCCAACAACAACCAAATGGATTTCATGGCACATTTTTGAAGGTAACCATATGGCCCCGCTTGTGTTTCTCATGGTGCCCAGTATATCCCAAGTCGTCAAGAAATCTTTCACTGGTCAGTGGTTGATTTGTTCAACAGGATTCGATCAACAAACATTTGTTGAATTAATGTTTGAATAAACAAAGGATTCTTCCTTTACTCCGGGCTTCATGGCCCCCTTCTCTCTAGTCTTGGAACTTTGACCTGCTGTTTTCCACATCACTAATGGTTCTGGATGGCCTTCAGTTTCTAAATGTCATGTCATGATCCAGCTCCTAAAGCCACACATCACACTCCATCTTTCATCGAGTGACCCACCAGGATCAGGCCTGGCCATCAGCATTGGCTAAAACCAAAAACAAAACTTCAGTTTTCTGAAAGGCCAGGCATCAAGAGATGTCATAACTCAAGTTTTGTTTTGTTTTTCCAAATGCATCCAAATGGGGCTGTGAAAAACGGGTAGAAGTTTGCATGTGTTGTGTTTTTGTTGCTTATACCCTTTGGCCAATGGAGATGTTACATTTAGTCCCGGGCATGGCCTCTGGACTCTGAGCCTGTGCCAAGCACCCGGCTAGAAAGCTGTGGGCCAGGAAGCAAGCCAGATTATTTGAAGCACATTACATCAGACATATCCTGAGGTGGAAAGGAAGGCCTCCTTGCTAGAAAGCAGGGAGGATTTTGGCTCTTACAGATTGGATTCAGTAACTTTAATTCCTTGGCTAAGGGCCAATCCTCTAGCAAGCAGCTATCATATGGTCTGCAAAAAATTCAGATCCAACGTCTCCAGACCCTGCCTTCTGTGTTGACACCACAGCCTTCTTTGACAGATGTATCACCTTTTGGGGGCAGTGAAGGGAGCAGGGGGTGGGGGTAGGAGGGACAGCTTTTAGAAAAAGACTTTAGAAAATCTGATCAAGGATTTTATAAGAGATTAAAATAATCTTACTAACTTCTCTCAATTTGAGGGGTCACGTTGACTTTGTAGTGGAAAATGATAAGCCTTGAATTAAAATGCTGTCCAAAAAAATGTTTTCATCCATCACTTTTTTTCCCTTTTCAAGTTAAATAAAATCATATAATAATGTGTAGTGAAGGATAGATTGGTATTAAATATTAACCTTATAAATTAGGCCCTCATGGTAGTTTCTCAATTAACTTTAGAAATTGACTTTCACAGTGAAGAAATTGGATCTCCACACACTGAAAGCCAAATATTTTGTGATTCCAAAGTCTTCTCTCTTTCCATGCACCATGTAGGCTCTCATGACCTCTATGTGCTAGCACCCATGTTCAGAATCTTGTAGCACTCCTCAGATGATTACAACAACAACAACAACAACAACAGCAACAAAACCCTTATTAATAATACAGAGGCCCTGGGAGCATCCACTCTGAATGCTCACATTGCATCCCGGAGGGGAAATAAAGCTGATTAAAGCGGTTTTAGGGTACGTGAGAGGACAAGCTACAAAGCACAGAGTATCCTACTGATGCTCTTACTCTTTATCTATGAAAAATCTGGAGCTATGGTAGGGCATTCTACAGTTCGTGAACGGAGACTCAGGAGGGAGAAGTCCTAAGGCATCTGTTGGGATGAAAATCCATGCCTTCTGACAGATGGATGCTTTTCTCGCTATAAATTCTGCAGCTGCAGGAGCAACCGTGTCCCTGTGAACAATGGGACAGCCATGGAGAGCCCTGAAGGAAAGACTGGTAAAGAGCTTTTGTGGGAACTTTCTGTGCCTCAGCTCTGAGTCTTCAGTCTAAACCCTGGATACTTCATCATCTCTTTTGGGAAATTTGATCTGGTACCATTTGATCCCAACACTGAAGGGGTGCTCAAGAAAAACATGAAATATTCACGAAGTGCTTTAAGTTTCAGGGGGAGTAATATTCCGGTCTGCAAAACCGAAATGAATTCCAGCTTACCCACGCATCTTATCGGCTCCATCGAGGTGGCCTACGTCACTCCGGACCTGTCCTTGTGTGAAAATCTGAGAATGTCACACATCCATTTGCCACCTTTCTTTAGCCCCTGAGAATGGAGCGATACATTATTCACATGTCCAAGAAGGGAAAGGAACAGGAGGGGTGAGAAGAGGAGGTGGGAGCAGGGAGGCGAGAACGGGAGGAAGGGAGGCGAGTGGAGAACTGACAAGGCCCGCCTGAGGAGCCCAAGCTGTTAAGCCATGGGGTCTGGGCGTCCTCTGCCGCTCCCCCTGCAAGGTGAACCTGCGGCTCACTGGCCCGCTCTTGCAAAGCACCGTGCCAAGGTCTGCCGTGGCCAGGCCTTCTCAGTGACAAGAGCCGGTGGGGTGCGGAGCTGCTCGCTTGGCATCCTTCACGGCCACTAAGGTCACTGATAAATTATTAAGCTGCTCCTAGGTACATGGCTCCGTGAAGATGATCGGGAGTGAAGGGAAGCCAGGGCAAGGGGTAGTGATCAGATATGCAGAGAACAAAGCCTCCGGAAGCGCACGCGGGAAGGCAGGACAGCCACAGTGAAGCCATCAGCTTCTGTTTACTCTCAGCCACGAAAGCTTTCCTTGGTGTATTCATACCACCAGCTCTTATTTTTAAGGAAGTGACACAAAGTAACAGGCTTCACAGTGCTGTCAGTGTCCCTCTTGACAGCCTGTAGATCACAATACACAACCATGTACTGTAATTATACAAAATCCAGAAGAAGAAAATGTTACTAGTTACACGGGTTAAAATGAAACTGACAACCCAAACGAAAACAAAACCAAAAGAAACTTCCGTTGGAGTCCATAGAAACAACAGCCAACTTTTTTGACAGTAGCCAAATTATCGTCCTAGCATGCTTGCAGTTCGTTGCCCTAACGTCATAAACCCCCAGCTCTTTGGGGGGTGGGGGGGGAAGGAAAGTGCATTTTCACAGCCTATGTAGTACTCAAGAGAAATAGCTTTCACATGTATGCAGGTCCACAGAAAAAGGAATGCAAACTCTAGGCACCAAGGTTGCTCAGACAGCAGTGGAGTCTTAAGAGTCCTTCTTCAAACTGCTCCGAAACAGATCTGGTTTGGGGAAAAAAGAATCTGAACAGTGACATTAGTTCAAGAAGGCCCAGGGGAAAACAACACTTAACTGTTAATAAGGAAGAAAACCATCAAGAACTAGAACAATTAAGACTTAAATATTTTTTCTACTCTACTTTGAAGCTGAGTTACAGCTTTTCATATTTGGAAAAGATACGCAGTTGATCTGTGGGTAGAACCGTTCTCTCTCTCCGCCCCTCCACCCGCCCCACTCCTGGTCCAGCAGCTTAATGCCGGAGGACAGATATCGCTGGTTCAATTTCCTTAAGTAGAATTAACATTTCCTCATGCGTGGCCAGGCCGCTTTTTAACAATGAGGTACAATTTGATACTAACAATTCCTGTTCCTTCTTGGGCTACGGGCTTGGTTGGTCATGTGAGTAGAAAACGATTCAACTTCATGATAAAATCACACGTACAAAAATTATTGCACTTAAAAACAACAACAAAAAAACTCAGCCCAACCAGCCAAGGGCCAAGGAAACTCTCTGGAAGTGCTGTGCTTCCTGCCCTTTGCAGAGCGCCTGGACCTCTGTGGTGTTCCGTTGAATTTGGTCCATTATTAAATGTCCAGAAGTGAAGGAGTCCAAAAGACACTGTAGGCTCTTTAAGGCTAAGTCTTCCCGGTGCTTCAGGGAGACCGATTATCTCCTTGGCCTCATATGACAAAGTAGGGGCTCTTCTTAGCAAAATGGCCAGGAGGGCCCCTAAAAAACTCTGGAAGCAAGGGAGGATGGGTGCACACCATGTCCTGTCCTGCACATGAGAGAGAGAGAGAGAAAGAGAGAGAGAGAGAGTGAGCAGCCTGGCAGGGACAAGCCACATACTGACAGGTCTGGGGCTAGAAGTAGAGCATTTTCCTCCTGAATCCACTGTTTGTTCTCTTTACACTCAGCCCCATTACCCATGTGGACACAGGCTTATCTGTGCATCTTTCCCCCTTTAAGTCCTTTTTGTGGATCTAAATATCTTTCCCTTTTTGGCAAATTTGTCTCTCAGTCTTTACCCATTATGAAGATAGAATACTAATCCTATCCTGTTACCCACTGATCCATATGCTCTTTATCCTTCCATATGAATCCTACAATGCACGCCTGTCCTCTCCCAACCCTGGGAATGGTCCCCCCCACCTCATTGTACTCAGATATATTTCACACTGTTTACTGACGTGAACTGGCATATTGTTCCTTCAGCGAAGAGTATAACAGCTCCAAAATACAACCTCCTACTTAAAGTTGAGCACAAGGCATTGAATATGTTACTAATGTTTTCAGGAAGTTCTCAAGTAAGTGTTCACATAATGGACGGAAGCAAGGCGTTCCTCTACTTCACTATCCTGAGACAAGTGTCAATTTTTTTTTTTTTTCCTTTGGGATGTGTACTCCAGCTCATATGTCCTTTGTAACCCCTTGTATGACCCTCATTATCAATAAAATATTTGGATTTTAGATAAATAGAGTGGGATGGCAGCATCCTGATATCTCAGACACAGATCCAATATCAGGACAGCTGAAGGTTCCGGATGGAGGGAAGAAAGATCGAATCCTAATGGGTTGCCGAAGCTCCAGCCTGTCATATCCCCCAGCCAAGGTGCTCAGAAGCGCTAAGATCTGCACGGTAGTACCGTCTCCCTATACATTTGGGGGTCAGAATCAATACAGCTGGTGACTGCTGTCTTCTGTTATATCCCATCATGTCCCCTCCCCGTGGTTTGAAGACAGAGCGCGGGACGATGGCCTCGTCTCTACTTACCGCTCTGGATTCTGAACTAGGACTTGCTAACATTCTCATAGATGACATCGCTGATGCAGAACTGCTGCTTCTTCTTCATCCACATCAGTTGCACACACTGATGGATGAAAATGTACTGCTCCTGGAGCAAAAGACCAAAGCAGGGCTCAGAGCGAGGTATTGTGCCAACACATGCAAAGATATACTGCTTTCCTACTTCAGTGGGGTTAGATACTCTGATCTGATGTCAAAGGAAAAATGTTCATTATTTAGGAGATAATTTTATAACTAGAAAATCCAAGAGAATCAACTGTAAAAATATTTTGATTAATAATAGAAATTAGGTCATCACAGCTTAACGCTAAAGGCAAGGACTATCCAATCAATAAATCATTGGCCTATTTTGAAAAAAAAAATTGTGTATCATCTTATAGTACACCAAAATGAATTCTGGAAAGGTTTAATAAATTAAGCCTTAAAAAAAGCGGGGGGGGGGTGTTGCTGAATACAGGTTAGTTTTTCTTTGATTACTTTTAGGAAGGACTTTCTAAACTTCAAAGCAAAGTAGTAAATTACAAATAAAAATTTCAAACTACTATATATAAAACAAAGTAAAATGAATAATATAAAGGGTAAATTGGAAGCTGGGAAGGAAAATTATTTTCTAAAATTGTGACAAAATGTTGATACCTTTTTAAAAAAACACATTTATTCAGTATCAAGATCAGACATTTAGCAATCAATAGCATGGGTGCAAAAAACGTCCAATTAAAACACGTTGTTGGAATGATTTACACTTTCTACAGAACAGAAACTAAAATGACCTGTTATACAATTTGTCATAGAACCAGTCCTCGAGTTTTTTGCTCATGCACCTGAGTATTGTCTAAAACACGTCTTCTTTGTAGCAGCGAAGCCCTGCCACCACTGTGCTTGGCTGAGGTCACACATGGGTTGTAACCTGTAGCTTCTCTGGCTCTCCTCTCCTGCTAAGCCTTGTTTCCTGACAGTAGTGAAAACCTTATGCCACTGCCATCACTACTGCTGGAACCGCCATAGCCACCTGGTTTCGTGGTTTGGTAAAGTATTGGCTTCCACCACCACAGGGGCCAGAGCTGCTGCCTCCAAAATTTAGTCCTTCCATGGGTCCCAACTTTGAAGATTTTTGATTGTTGTAGTGCCAAAATCATGACAGCTTCTCCTTCCTCCAAAATTGCTTCCATCATTATCAAATCCATGATAGCCATCCTCACCACCACTACGTATCCACCACCTCCTCGACTACCACCAAAGCCACCTCCCCAGTTTCCTCATGACCACAGTTGTCATTCCCACAAAAACCACCTCTGTGACCACCACCAAAGTTTCCAGAACCACTTCAACCTGTTTGGATGCATGAAGCACTAACCATCTCTTGCATAGCTTGGACTTTCCTTACTTCACAGTTGTGGACATTGACGGTGTGGGATTTTTGAATGACAATCTTGTCTACAGGATCATGGTCATCAAGTGTTACAAAAGCAAAGCCTGTTTTTGCCACTGCCTTGGTTGGTCATGATTTCAATCACTTTGATTTTCCATACTGTTCAAAATAATCTCTTAGATGACGTTCTTCAGTGTCTTCTTTAATGCCACCAACAAAAATCTTTTTCACAATTAAGTGGGCACCAGGTCTTTGAGAATCTTCTCTTGAAAGCCCCCTTTGGTTGTACATCTCTTCCAACCCCCTTGTGTGGCCTTGCTTCGTGGCTGCCTCCACTGCCTCCACGGGGCCATACTTCACAAACCCAGAGCCTCTGGAGCACTTGGTATTTGGATCTCTCATGACTACACAGTTGTGAGCATTCCCCATTGCTCAAAAATGGCTCCTCAGCCTCTTATCAGTTGTTTGAAAGCTCAGATCTTTGGTGAAGAGCTTTTGCCGCTGTTCAAGCTCTTAGGAGACTGACTTAGACACAATGGCGGGGGGAAGGGAGAATTTAATGATGCTTACTTGGTGGACATCCACAGGCAGAAAGGAATAATCTAACAAACGTATCTCGATACCTTTATTTTTGTTTAAAATTCCTTGACTCAGTGACACACACACTTAAACTGACTGATAAAATGTATCGGCAATGAGACCAAATACTCTTGGAAGAGAGGGACTATATCTTTTTATTCCTCATGCTTAATACTCAGTGCGTTTATGAAGAGTTTTCTGAAGTAAACTGAAGAAATATCAAAACATATGCAAAAGATGGAGACATAATAAAAAAATGTAAGTTGAAACAATTGTGTCTTGTCTATGACATGAGCAAAGCTAAAGGAAAATGTAACGCTCCCTGGTGGCTTGAGTTTGTTGAAGCTGTCATTTTTATCTATTGTTGGTGGAGGTATTACTACTAATGTGCTAGTAAATGGTCTTGTGAACACAGATAGTAAACAAGTGGGAAAGGATTCAATTTCATGTCCTATAAAAAGGAGAATGGCTTAAATAAGACACAGCAGATTTATATGAAAAATTATTCAGTCCTTAAAATGAGATTTATAGAGTTTTGGACAATTTGGGATGATATGATAGCAAAATGTTAAGTGGAAAATTACAGTGTAAAGTTAGTATATGTACACGTAGCATATAAGGTGTAATTGTATAAAAATCATACTTGAATGAAGATAGAGGTGAAATACATCAAAATATTGAGCATAGCTGTCTTGGTGCCATGAAATCAAAGTAACCTCATGACCCTTTACCTTTTTTCTTTATTTCCTAGAGCTTCTCTGTAAGTAATACCATCAGAAATAACCTTGACATGAAAGTCAGTCACTATATTCACAGGAGTTAAGGGTCTTTTGTATGACAACTTTATAAAGGTTAGGTTAATACTTCAAGGTTGATACCTCAGCCTAATCTGTATTTTTCAACAAGCTTTGGAATAAGTATATTCCCTTATTTTGTGATAGTATCCCATCCAGAACTGACCACCTCTTCTCATTATCACACATCACCCCGTTGGTTCTGGGCGTGTGTCAAGCACTGGGCACCGCCAGACCAGACCGTGCCTTGTTTTTCTTTTTTTTTCTTTTTTTTTTTTTTTAATATTTGAAGGCTTATATTTTAATTCCAGTTAGTTAACATACAGTGTTATATTTGTTTTGGGTGTATAATGTGATTCAACACTTCCATACATTATGAGGTATTCGTCACAGGTGTCCTCCTTAATCCCCATCACCTGTTTCCCCCAGCTTCCCGCAGTCCCCCTCTCTGGTAACCATCATTATAAAGTTTGTTCTTTATAATAAGGAGTCTGTTTCTTAATCTCTCTCTGTTTTTCCCCTTGCTCATTTGTTTCTTAAATTCCATATATGAGTGAAATCATTTGGTATTTGTCTTTCTCTGACTTATTTCACTTAGCATTATACTCTCTAGCTCCATCCATGTCATTGTAAATGGCAAGATCTCATCCCTATTTGTGGCTGAATAATATTCCATTGCAGGTATATCTTTTTTTTTTCTTTTTTCTTTTTTTTTTTTTAGAGCGTACCTTGTTTTTCAATTCAGAACTAGACAGTGGCCAAACTTTGTGTCACGAAGAAAAAAAAAAAAGAGCTGGACCCCAGGAAAAGTAAATGCAAGACTATTTACAGACACGTCCCTGAGAGCCCCTGAGAAGTCTAAGCCGCTGATTGGGATGACGGCTGCTCAGGACAAAGCCCTCACTGACCTCCAGGGAAAGCCTATTAGAGGAAAATCAAACAAAACCTTTGATAAAAATAGAAGAGAAGCTAAGAGAGGTGAACGCCACTCCATATAGAGCACTTTATGGCTTCAAAATGCTTGTCTAGATTCCACTATTCATTTAATGGATACGCGACAGCAGTTCATGAAGGCAACGCTCACATTTTACACATGGGGACAGGGAGCTATGAGAGGGGAAGGGGGGTGTATGGTGGCTGTAAGTGGCCCAGGCCGACTCAAAGAGTCTGGCCTGCGGACCCTGACTTCCTAACTACCCCTTGCTGCTCCTGGGGAGAAGCTCATAGCCTGTGCCCTGTCAGTTGAGAAAAGAGAAGGGAACACGTCAAAGCGCAGCCCGTGCAGCATGTTGCCATGACCGGAAACGTGTGTCTCAGGACAGACTGTTTCAATCAGTTAGTTCTGCTATTTCTGGAGTGGGGCAGGTAGAATCGAGATGACGGGCCGTCTAGAGGAGGCAGGAAAATTACAAAACCAGCCATGAGAAGGAACCTGGTTCATAGCACACAGGTGGTATATATAATTGGAAATCAGCTGGAGAATCACTCCCGCCTCTTAAAAATCACTGGGGTGGGATGATAAAACCAAAGAAAATAATTTGTTACTTTGCTCCTTATTTGTTAACATCAGTAAAGTCGAAGGCAGCAGGACTGGGATATTATGAATGGGCTCAAGGAGGATGTTAGGAAAACCCTAACATTCAGAATCCAGGTTGAACCATGAAGAGCACAGGAACCAGGAAAAACAAAGGTAAATGAACAAGATGTTCCAGACATAACTAACAAAACAGACATAAATAAATAGCTCAAGCTCGAGAGCCTTCGCTGCAGAATCCCGAGGGAACTCAAGAGCGAAGCTGGAACAGTTGGAAAAAATCAGTAACTTATGGTGACCTCTGCCTCTTTTGCTGACTTTGAGTTTTCCCACCAGAGTTCAGGGAAGGGATATTGCCCTTTAAAAAGACCGTTTCCCTGGAGATGTCAGCATAAAAATGCTGCTGGAAACAACGAAGTCAAACAACCAAGATTTGGGACCAGAAAGTTAGGGAGAACGCAAAACACTTCCTCAGCTCTGCCAAGACACACGTGCTGACTGCTCTAGTTCGGTGCCATTACTACACTTGAGAAGAGATAAATGGTGTTGCAAATTGGATGGAGGGTCTGCCATGTGAAGGTAGTTTTTAAAGAGGCATTAGGATTCTGTAATTGGGAAAGCCAAAGGCAAAAAGGCTATAATCAAAGTCTATAAAATTATAAGAGGCATAAATTAAGTCAACGGAGCAGACAATTCATCACATCCAAAATACTTAAAATAAGGAGTGGCCCTTTGAAGTTTGGGGATTAAAATACATAATGGGGAGATTTAACCACATATTAGGATGTAAATTTATGGGAATGAAAACCAAAAATATGGACCGATTCATAAAGCACTGTTTAATCACTAGGTAGTGGGCTTCTCTGGGAAAGCAGAACATTTTGAGCTTACACCAATGAGGTACTGTTCGTGTCCCACTGCTGTAAATTAGAAGGCAGCTGGTCTGGGATGTGAGTGGGCCCAAGGAAGTGAGCAAACAAACACATCATCAATGAGACCTGCATGCGAATGGATCACTCTTTCCAAAGTAGTAGGGTCTTGGTAAAGTGCAGAAATAAATCCCTTGGGTCGGCTGTATCGAGCCTTTGTCAGATGGGAGTGGGGAAGCAGGAAAGAAAAGTAAAGAGTAGGAGAGGAGAAACCAGAAGCGTAGGAAGAACTGAGATGGTCTTCAGCAGAAGAATTGATAAAGAAGATGTCATCCATATATAAAGTGGAATATTATTAAGCCATCAGAAAGGATGAATACCCAACTTTTGCATCAACATGGACGGGACTGGAGGAGATCATGCTGAGTGAAACAAGTCAAGCGGAGAAAGTCAATTATCATATGGTTGCCTTTATTTGTGGAACACAAGGAATAGCATGGAGGACATTAAGAGAAGGAAGGGAAAAATGAAGGCGAGGAAATCGGGGCGGGGTGGGGCGCGGTGGGGTGGGGGCGGTATGACCCATGAGAGCCTGTGGCCTCTGGGAATCAACTGAGGGTTTTAGAAAGGGAGGGGGCAGAGGGAATGGGTGAGCCTGGTGGTGGATATTAAAGAGGGCACGGATTTCATGGAGCACTTGGTGTTATATGTCAATAATGAATCTTGGAACACTATATCAAAAACTGATGATGTACTGTATGGTGAATAACATAACATAGAAAAAAAAAAAGAAAGAAAGAAAAAGAAAGAAACCGGAAGCGTGAACAGAGAGCTGCCATTACTACAGGCTCTTTGAGTTATACTGACACCTAGTGGTGCTTACTAGGAAAAGCATGGGGAAGACGAAGGCAGCATTTCATCTCTTGGAACTTGAGTAGGTCAGGTCAGGTTGTTTTCTACTCTACAAGCCTTCCGCCCTCAAACTCCCTGAGCAAAAAGGATTATTGTATGCTCTAAGCTGAGAGGTCACAAGTACCGCTCGGTAACGAGGGTTCTGAACCAGCTACTGTGCATGGGTTTCAGAGGCACCCAGGAGCCCACACGCTGCTGCTGGGAGGCTGTGTGATGCTGTGTGCCGGCAGCAGCCCAGGGTTAACCACTCTGGCCAGAGTGCATTCTGAGGCTTCCAGGCAGGAGAGGATGGGACGGAAGAGGAGGAAGAGGGAGCACACAACACTGGTGGGTATTTCTGGGGATGCTCCCATGTCATTACAATGGGTATTCCTTTAGATTAAGGACACTGGCAGCACTGCTCCGTTGGGAACTGGAAATCCTTAACATCATAAGAGGGACAGAAAGCATAAATCCAGCCCCTGATCATCATCCAAAGTGCATTGGGACAGAGAGTCACATAGAGGACGAACTAATGCCAAACTTATTGAATCACATCTAGCATTTCAAATATAAATTAAGTCACGTCAGTTCCACGGTCTCCTCTTGGCGGCATTTACCCAGATCGGCTGTCACCTTCACTGAACTCGGTCTGTCCAAAGAGGTTTTATTCTATTACAGATATTGTAGATGCATCCATGTGTCTTGGATTACTAAAGGGCATAGGATGCCAACTGCAGGGCCAGCACTATACACTGAATGGATTTCTAGAGGCTAATATCTATTTTTTTTGTACCTTAAGCAGTTTGAACATGCACACTAAGAAACTAGGAAGAGCAGAGGCAGGAAAAAAACTGAGACAATTGTTTTAAAACATGAGACTGAATCACGAGAAGTTTCTCAGTCCAGGGCATATTTGAAAATACATTTTTGATTCTGCTCCTACCTCTGTCTGCACCATAGACATCCGGTATGATCGCATTTCCGACACCAGCCCTAAGATGTCGACAAACTCATGATCCCGAATGTGCTGCAGGAGCCTGTCCAGGGCAATGAATGTTCCTGTCCGGCCGACTCCCGCACTGCAAGAGAGTGTCCAGACAGCATGTTCCTCAGACAGTGATTTTATACGGTTGCAAACACACTGGCCACTAGAAAACCCCCGAAACTACAAGTAGCACCACTGAGAAAAAGGAAGAAATATTCCTGAGAAAATTTCCCTACTTTGAAATACACGATTGTGGTTGGTGGTTTTGTTTTGTTTTGATTTGAGAGAGAGAACTCAATGGCAGGGTTGGGGGGATGACTGGGAGAGGGAGAAGCAGACTCCCCACTGAGCAGGGAAATGCACGCGGGATGCAGGACTTGATTCCAGGACCCTGAGATCATAACCTGAGCCGAAGGCAGACACTTAACTGACTGAGCCACCCAGGTGTCCATTAGTGTGTCTTTCAGTGTCACATGTCTGTCACATTTCTGAATTGCCCTGTTGCCTCCCTCAAAGAGGTGTGGGGCCCCCTGTTTCCTGAGGAAGGTAAGGAGTCCAGAGGGAGCCTGCTGGTGACTTGCTTCCTGGTCTCAGTGAGCTGATACACAAAAAACAATTCCAGTCTTCCTTGTATCCTTGGAGTTCAGTCACACCCCCTGCTGGAAAGTGGGCTTGAGAGACCACACACTAGCTCTAGCTCTGGGGCGACAGCCATTTGCAGGAGGTCAAGAATATTTATGTTATTTAATGCTGTGATTAGTGATTTTTAGTCCCACATTGTGTTTGGCCATGTTATAAACCACTCAGAATCACTGAGAGCGCCTGAAGGCATGGATTTGAGCCCTAATCCCTCCCCATTCCAGCTGCATGAATTTACGTGAATCCCTTTACCTCCCCACTTCTCGGGTCTTTTTTTTTTTTTTTTTTAATCTGAAAGTGAGACTAATAGGATCTACCTCATAGACTATGGGGAAAAAGAAAAGCCATATTATAAGCAAATCACGTATCTAGTAAGATATCCGTTAACTGTAAATTTTAGAAAGTCAGAGTTCATGTCATGGCTAATTCAGTGGGACCGAGGTATATGGAGGGCTGGGCTCTTGGCTTTGTAAAGCAGAGCCTGTGGTACCACCAGGGAAGACATGGCTGATGAGGTTACCTGCAGTGCACGATCATGGGGCCTTTGCTCTTCGTAGCTTGCTGTCGAACCACGTGTACAAACTGCAGGATGCTCTCGGCCGCATTTGCTGTGGGTACTCCGTGATCGGGCCACGCCATGTAGTTGAAATGCATCACATCCTGTGTCTCGTCCGCCTTTAGGAGGAAAAGCCAACACAAGCGTGAGTGTCACAGTGTGCCCGCCAGGTGGCCTGGGCCTCCCCGGCCTCAGAAGTTAAAGCCCGTTCCCACCCTGGCCGGTCCCTCTTCCCTTCCCAGCCCTGTATCTGGCACAAAGCGGGCCCTGAAAAAAAAAATACTAATTGTATAACACTTCAAAGAGTAGGGTAAAGAGGTGAATCCATGGCTTTATAGAGATAAGAGCTCCAATGGATTGGGGTCTGCCTCCCAGCTCGGCCTTTTGGCAACTGCATCAGTGTTGGTCCATGAATCCCGTGGAAGGTGCTATTGGTTCCTTCCTGTCCCCGGATCCCCTTCATCAGGCTGATGCACCCCTTTTCCAGCTGCTGCTAACAGCATATGGCTACATCCTCCTCATGGCTGACGTCTACAAAGGGACGTGCCTTGCTGGGGTATGCCCAGGGAGATGTGTTTTTCTGAGGAGGGCAGCCCACAGCTGAGGAATGACGGATAATGGGGTACAAAGCACCTGCCCCCTTATGTCAGGAGGTAAGCTAACAGCACGGTGCCATTCATTGCCCCGGCCATCTCCGTGGGATCCAGCTGAGGCCAGAATTCAGAGAAACCCACTGCTGTGTGTATCTCCTTCCCTGCCCTGTCCTATCCTGCTTACCTGACTCCCTTAGTGATTTTACCCAAGTTTACACTTTCAGAACCTCACCAATGGGACAATCCCTGTCTTGTGCTCTGACCCAAGAAAAACTTGCTGAACATGTTTTCTCATACCTAAAATGAGCCCTTTTAGATGTTATAGGGTAAAATACCCCATCACAAGGATGGTTGTGAGAATTAAGTGTGCTCATGTCTGTGAAGGATGGGACCTGGTAGATATGGTCATCACTACTACCTAATTACCACCACCCTCTCCCATCCAGTTCAGCGTAGGTATACGGTTGGTTCTGGGAATCCCAATGGGTTGGTATGTTTTGTATATTTACTCATTCATATTAACTCATATGTCAAATACATTCTTGTCCCCTCAGAACTGAGTAATTGTCAGTGAGGGTATGAGCCTTCAAGATTTGCTCTTCTTCTTTTCTTTCTTCTTCTTCTTCTTTTTTAGATTTATTTATTTGAGAGAGAGAAAGAGTAAGGGAAGGGGTAGAGAGAGGGAGAGAGTCTCAAGCAGACACTGCACTGAGAACAGAGCCCCATTCAGACCCCGATCTCACAGCCCTGAGGTCATAACTTGAGCCCAAACCAAGAGTCTGATGCTTAATAGACTGAGCAACCCAGGTGCCCCAAGACTCACTCCTTTTAGTCTCTACTAATTTGTAAGCATGAAGATTTATTCTGTTCTTACTATCAATTGTCACAAATATTCCAAATCCAGGCCTCACAAAGATCTAATTCTTCTCCCTTCCCTCAAACATTCTAAAAGCCTAGAATCCACTGGGTGAATGGAATACTGTGCCGTAATTTGGAGAATTTGGCCTGGTTATGAAACTAAAGTTAGGTTCAGGTATTCAGGAGAAATGAATTCCTAAGAATCAGTAGTCTTGGGTGGAGTAAAATGTGTATAAATGTAAGTAAATACATAAATAAAGCATATACATGTAAGATCCGTGCAAACATAAATAAAACAGTGCCCCACCTGCACCTCCCCCCATCCCCTCTGTCTGTAAGACTCTCCATCCCCAGCCACATGCAGCCCCTCCCTCACTGCCTGCAAGGGCTCCTTCTCAGACACATGGAACATGCGTGCGCAGGTCTGCAAAGATGCTGGCGACTCTCACTGCTGTTTCCAGGAGGTATGGCCAGGAAATAACCCAAGCTTAATAAATTGTGCAGAACGACTCCATTACCCAGCACCATGAGGACTGAAGCACACGCAATCACTAGATAACTTTGGTTGCCCAGAGAAACTCCCCCAAAATGTTAGCTCTTTTCAAAGGCTGATTACAGGCTTCGTGCAAAGACCTGCACATGGTAGGCAATATATACGTATGTGTGTGTGTGTGTGTGTATTATTATACATATTTTTTTAGAAATTTTTACATATATATATAATTGATCTGAAAATATATCCAGCTAAAATATGCAAAGTGGTTCAAAACTAGGAAACACTTAAATTGTCATTAGTCTCTCTATAGCTACAAGACAGAGTTCTTCGTACAAGGGTGATCCCTGTCAGCTGAAAAACAAGGCACGCATCAATGGGAATGAACACATTTTTGCTGGTTTTAGTCCCCAGTTCCTACTCAGTTCAGGCCAAGTTTTCAAATTTCATGTTATGGTCATTTTCCTCCTTTCTTATTAAATGAGAAAACCATCCTTGTTACATCTTAGCCATTACAAAATTTCTCTTACTCCGATTTCCTCATTCATGTGCTTTTATCTGGTTGTACGCTGAAAGCTCCCATGTGTCAGTATGAAGGGAGTAAAGAAGAATGTGAACAAAAATTGAAACAAACAGAAAAACATCCATTAGCACAGCACAATATTCTTTTGCAATACAGCTTTCATTAAGGAAGCGTAAAATTTCGATTCTGTGTTTATGGCCAAATGGGGGCACTCTAGGACCAAATGTTTGTAACTACAGTCTACACATCTTACCAGAAAACACTATTATTCCATGTTTTATTTTAGTGTTTTAAGACCGTGACACGATTATCGTTGAAAGCTAGGTGACCATTTAAGACCAAGGACAAGAAGCATAGTACTGACCAGACACTGATCTATGTGACTCTCTCTGTCAAGGAAACAGGCATGGAACAGACCCTATTTTGCGCTTGGCACTCTCTTTTCTCCTGGATGCAAACATGGGGAATTATTTGTTCTACCTTTACCCAGATGTTTACACTGTCTTTCTGGCTGAAATAGCCAAGAAACAAAGCAGGATTCAAAGGGCACTCAGGTTGTCAAATATTTTTCTCTGAGGAACGTCTGTGAGCTTTCCAAGCGTTTTACTATTTTTGAAATCATTCATTCACCCCCTCATTTATTCATCCCACAAAAATTTTTATAAGTGGCTAAGGGTTGGGATTACAAAGCTTATTAAAACAGGGTACTTGCTTCCCACACCATTGTGGATGAAATGGGAAATGAATATGTTCAAAGTAGGATTTATCTCTTGAAGAAAGCAGTGTTGCAAAGTGTGAAGAGCTCACAGTCTAACATGATGGTGGGTTGGCCTCTGACACGTGGGCGTCCCCTCAGCACAGGGACACACCTGAACGTGTGCTTCGTGACTTACATAGTTAATCCGGAAGTGTCTGCGGGCCCAGTCGTCCCGCTCTTCCTCCGAGATCATCTCCACGGTGATGTCTCCGTAAGCTATGGGCTCTTCCGTGAATGGCCAGTAATGGTCGCATTTCACCTGAGGAGACAATGGCACAACATTTCAAAACAAACAGGTGATAGAAGAAAGAGCCAGTGCTCACTTAGGAAAAACAGAAGTCCTTGTCTCTGAAGAACCATGTCGTACTATTGTGAGGATGAAAATGGAACAAGTGGAAGTCTCTGGTACACAGTAAGCACTCAAGCCATGGCCACAGCTGGTACGGGTTGTGCTGTCCCAGTGGGGACCCCCCCCCCCGCACCCAGGCACTTACCCTTCTTTTCTCATTACACTGTGTGAGCATGACAATGATCTGAGACTTCTGTTGTAGAACCATCTTCCAAAAGTCATTTCTGGTCTCAGGTAGTGGCCCCTGTGTGGCAATATACTCCTGGGGTAAGTTGTATCCCTGAAGGATGAAGTGACAAATTTGTCACGTAAGGGACCACTCTCAACACCAAACCCTGCTCCCCACAAAGGAGGAAAACCTAAGAATTTACTGGGGATGAGCCTGGCAAAGGATCACACAGCCTGGATCGTGTTCTCTCCCTTTTTCATCAAAGAGGTGATCAGAGTAACGGACCTGCTCAGGTCTGCGTTATTGGAAGCCTTGTTCTCACACCTCTTTTACGAGAACAGTCACTGTTTTTAAAGCACAGGGGCTCATGGGGAGCCCTTGGAGTTGAGTTGCTGAAATTGAAGTTTATACATGAGAAAGGTGATTTAGGGTGATTATTTACTTTCACTTTCACCAGATCTTTACTGAGAAAGCCAAACATTACTCATCTATAGGCTCCCCCCCCCACCATTCGTTATTCTGAAGAGGAATAATGGGAACTCTTCCTGAGAGCTGGGGGTCCAGGTGGAGAATGGCTCTCTTTTTACAACAATTGGATGCCTCCCTGAATAGTCCCCTTCTTGCTGAGTTAGAATTGGGATGCCTGATTTTAAAACATTTTTGTATTTTATTTTATTTATGGTCTTTTACTTACAGGAATGTAGTTGGCATTGATATAGTCTGTGCCTTCCTCTTCATTCATGGAGACTAATCTCACACGACTAAAGTCATCTGGAAAGAACAACAAGAAGAGAGACTGAAAATGGGAGCAGAAAGAATTGTCTTGACCTTCTCTATCCAAATAGCAAGTCTGATCAGCCCGTGACAGGGTAGGTCGAGTTTATTTTACCCTGATATTTCAGCCACAACTCAGTCTTAGTTTCTTGTTTAGGTATAGAAACACACCTCAATCAGTGTTTCCTCTCCATCAGCTCCCCTGTCCTTGTCTCTGGGCTGTGGGGACATTATGCAGGATCGTTAGAGGAACTAAAATATCAGGGAGGTTGTATGGAAGGCTAGAGGATGTAACCTGAATCCATGATTCCCATGTCACCCAGCACATCCAGAAAATCTACTACCTTTCGGAAACCTAGGCGTTGCTCGGACTTTGTGTAAACAGACTTCAGATGAGAAAAGTACATTCTGGTATGTGTACAGATGTAAAGTGTTATAATGTGACACTGTGCAATTTCATCAAGAAGACTGATCAAGGAGAGAGTTCTCCTTCTAGAGCTTTTTCAGCTCTCCTCCTCCCCGATCTCAATTTTTCCCAGCACTACCCCCTGCCCCCACCTCTAGCCAGTGTGGCAGAGAAGAAAGTTAAATCTACATAGTGAAGTATTTTATTTGTCCAGTAAGTGCTTTGTATTACTTTTTTTTCTCTAATGTTGCTTTTATTACAAAATGTTAAGCACCAAGAAAACCTGCCGGAAGGAAGAAAGAGGAGGCATTTTAGTACATCGGTCTCCTTCCCTTGTCAGGGAGTTGATTGAAAATAGTTTATGATAGCTCAGATTATCTTATCCTAATTTGGCTAAGATTTCTGATCTCCAAAGAACCAAATGGTCAGTCTTTCCTGATCATCAGACACAATTCAGTTGAAAGCAAAGAAATTCAATATTCCTACATAGAATGGGATCTAGCAACATCAAAGCACAAATGGGACCAGTGCAGTCACAGAGATGGCCTAGAGGATCTCGAGGGCAGCTGGGCTTAGCCAGAGATTGCTGAAAGTGATGACTCTGCATTAACAGTCAGTCAGCCTTTGAGCGACATGAATAGGAGAGGCTCTAGTGACAATCTTACACGGTAGGATGTTTGTGTAACGATTTTTACATCGGTTCAGCGGAAGGTCTGCTGCAAAGTGCGGAATGTCCAGTCCAATCAATTTCAACTCCTGCAAATGACAGAGAACAGAGTTGAGATTTCGGTATTTGGTGTGGACTGGATTATCGTTCACACTGGATTATTCCTCACTCCCCGTCTGTAATAGAATCATCACACCCCCTCTTCCATGCGAGGTTCCAGTTACTCCCTCCTGGGACAGAGCGCACTTCTCCACTCCACTGTTCTCAGCTTGTTTTGGCCAATAAACCTGGGTAGGGATCATTCTGATCAGAAGCTTTAAGTGTACTTGCTCAGCTGGGTTTTCCCTCCTGTGCGACTACCATCTGTCGTGAAAAGAACATGCCCAGGGAAGCTGCTGGCCCCAGAATGAGGAGAGGCTTACAGCAGACCCGGTTCTGTCCTACAGACCCTGGAGGGATGAAAAGAAAGAAATGTTGTTGTGGATCCCTGAGATTTTGAGATTTGCCCTACAGGATGCTTCTATAGCTTTCTTGCAGGAATAGGGTTAATACAATATGTAAATATTCTGAATCGCTCAGTGATCACATGGAGAAGGTAAGAATTGTTTCAAAAACTTGAAAACCGAGACACATTTCAGAGCTTTGGAGGTATATATTTACTGAAATGTACACACTATGTGTAAACCTTTCTGTTCTATGGGGAAATGTAGGTATTTCTCCTACAGGTAATAGCCTTAGAGAAAGTAGTAAAAGAATGAGTAACAAGTAGGGAGTATTCCTCATGTTATAAGAAGTAAGGCCTACAGGCACTAAGTATCTGGAAATAAATCAGACAGTAAGAATGAATCAGTAGTAGATAGGCAAAGCTTTCAGTGAAAATAGGATCAACCAAGTACGTGCTTCTAAGTACATATCTATACTCCTATAAATCCTATAATCAAAATGTGCATTGGTAGGGCAACTTTTGTATAAACAGACAACCACCACACTTCAGCAAGATTATGTTACAGGCTAGGGGTGCCTCTAAGCATTCATCTCATGTGTCTTATTAGAAACATGCAGTTATGGTCAGGCCACCCAGATTTCCTAGGAGTTGTTGTTCATACTGTGGTTGGTGTGAATAGCTCCCTGGAGTTGGGCAGTGCACAACCAGTGCAGCAGATTTGGTTATGTTTCTGTACAAAGTTCAGGGAGCTATTAGCGAATGGCATATACAACCATCTAGAAATGGAATGATGTAGATAGTATGCACCTCTCTGTGAGCCTACTAACGGAGGCAGTAGAGAAACCATTTGCTGTAATTTTTTTTTTTTTTTTTTTACTCAGATAGGATGTTAATGCTGCACACACGGTTTACTCTTCACAATTCCTTCCAATTTTTACTCCAGTGAATCAGGAGTGAGAATACATATCTGGGGGAAGAGTTTGGGAGCGTCTTTGAAAGACTTCTGAAGGGGGTTGGGGACACTGGTGATGTTCTGAGAGACTGCAGAGGCATATCTCTTTCATGGCCCTTCTGTCTTGATTTGAATGTTCTTTGCAAAGCATATACTTTAAAGAGACCAAGTTCTTGGGTCTTTTGCTGCATCCACATAGAAGTTCCTTGTCAGCTTACTGGGATGCAAACTGCAGTCCACACAGATGGACCGACCTGAATCACTCAGCTCTCTCTCCTCCCTTCATTCTGCAACACTTTGGGCTTTATAAGATCATGAAATCCCGAGCTCTGGGGTCCAAGTTGAAGCCAACCTTAAAGAGAAGCTCTGCTGACTTTGATCCTCAATTCACAAAGGGAGTTCTTCTGTCTCAGGCAAAATCCTTGCTTGCTAAAGGCCTTTAACCAGAAGCATGTCACTGTTACTTTATAAGTGGTCTTTCCATTTTAAAGGGTTTTCAAAGACTGACTATATTCTTTTAAGTAACAAAATTTATTTTTAGCAAACTCCAACCAAATCAGTGTTATGTTTAGGTTAGTTCCTTGGCAGCTAGAAGCTAATTTAAATGATGCTTCCATTGCTTAAAATCTTTTGGAAGTCTACCTCCTTTAGAGAGTGTCGTTAGAGATAGTTGGTCAAAACATCTGGCTTCTTTTGGTGTACCACTCATAAAATGTAGGGTCTTGGAAAAGTAGCTCAACACTTGGTAACATCAGTTTAGGAAAAGTAGCTCAACACTTGGTAACATCAGTTTAGTTATCTGTAAGATAAGGCTAACAACTTTCCATCCCTCAGTCCCGTAGAGTGGCTCTCCAGGGGAACGATGAAACGCAACGCCTGTGAATACAGCACTCCTGATAACGGCGGGGAGATGCTTCCGTTCAGATTCTTTGTTTTGCTTTGCCCGGACGTGTAACTTCTCCCTCCTCTGCCATTTGCACTAACAGACCCACAACCTTCTCCTCAAGTCCCCTGCTTTGAAGACAGACTGATGAGCCACAGGAAGAGGCCTCGGTGACGAAAGAAAAGTGTGGAAACAGATTGGAGCTGGGAGCGGGAGCACATATGGAAGCCGACTAACTGATAGAACTTTAATTGTGTGTTGCCTCCCTGCTGTAAGTGCCCTAAGCTGGTAAGAGAGGTTTAATTGGCTCAACACTGTAAATGTAAATTGCCTCTGAATCCAGGCAGAGCAGGAACGGCGGGGGTGCACAAAATGCTTCACGATCTTTTGTAATTTAGCCTGTCACTAAGTGGAAAATCAAATACTAAGTTTCCCGGTTCAGTAGCTTTGCAGTTATTCTCTTTCCAACCATATGGAAGCTCCGGAAGCTTTAATCTTCATAAAGGCAAGGGACGACGTGATGGCCTGAAACCGACATAAATCATTTTTGAATTTTCATTTGCCAGTTTGGTTTCTGTTATGATTTATGACGGTGTGTTTCTTCCCGGGGGCCACGGAGTCATCCACAGTGGGTAGAGTGGTGGCTCCCCAAAAGATGCGTCCACACGCCAACCCCCAGAACCTGTGAATGTGGTCTTATTAAAGAAGAGGCTTTGCAGGTGCAGTTAAGTTAGGGATCATAAGACAAGATTATTCTGCATTATCTGGGTGGGCCCTGTATCCCAGAGAGAAGGCCATACAAAGGCAGAGACATAGGTTGGAGTCATGCAGCTGTAAGCCAAGGAGCGCCTGGAGCCTCCAGAAGCCGGAGAAAGCAAAGAAGGATTTTCCCCTAGAGCCTTCAAAGGACACATGGCCCTGATAACACTTTGATTTTGGACTTCCGGCCTCTAGAACTCTGAGAGAACAAACTCTGTTGCTTTAAGTGACCAAGACTGTGGTAATTTGTTACGGCAGCCCTGAGAAATTACTACAGTCCCCAAAGCCCAATGGCAGTCTACATTGGGTTGGCAGTCTACTTTGATTTTGGACTTCCAGCCTTTAGAATTCTGAGAGAACAAATTCTGTTGTTTTAAGTGACCAAGACTGTGGTAATTTGCTATAGCAGCTCTGAGAAACTACTACAGTGACAGTCTATGACCCCAGGGTAGGTTGGGGACAGGAAAGCACAAACATATGCACTATGTTAGTCCAGTCCAGCTGCCCACAAAGTACCACAGACTGGGTGGTTTAAATAATGGACATGTATTCCTCACAGTTCTGGAGGCTGAGCAGGCTAATATCAAGGTGCTGACAAGGTAGTTTTCATTCTGGGGCTTTTCATGACTTGTGTGTGACTACCGTCTCACTGTGCACTCATGTGACCTTTCTTGCCTAACCCTACTTACCTTCCCAAACTTCCATCTTGTCCACATATCAATTTTGGGAGGACACAGGCAGCTTGTAACCTGCGCAGTCACCTTCCAAGAGGACCACAAACTCTATTCCGGCTGTAGAGTCTGTAAGAGTGTCAGCAGGGTCTAAGTATTTGGGACCGTTTGGACCACAGAGTCAAGTGAGTTTGATTACTGGACTACAGAACAAGTGGGGAGACACAACGTCACTGGTGGTGTTGACAGTGGTGGAGCCATCTGTGGCAGATGCAAGGCTTGGTGGAACTGGGCAAGTTCTGGCTGGTTTTCAGGTAAATGCAAAAGGAGCCAGGATTTAGAATGAGGTGTTTAGTGAGGCTCTGTATTCATTTCTGAGGGCTGCCGTAAGAAAGTACCACAAGCTGAGTGGCTCAGAGCAACAGAAATTGTCTTATAGTTCTGGAAGCTGTATGTCTGCAGTCAAGGTGTTAGCAGGGACTTCTGACGTCTGTCATTTATGGAGGAATATTAGGGCATCCTTCCCATCTCTTCTTAGTGTCTGATGGTTTGCTGGCAAACTTTGATATTCCTTCACTTGCCACCCTATAACTCCAGTCGCCGCCTTTGTCACCACATGGTGTTCTCCCTATTTGTCTCTGTGTCTTCACACAGCTCTGTTTCCATAGGGACACCAGTCTGACTTGGAGCCCACACTGCTCCAGCATAACTTCATCTTAACTAATTACATTTTTAATGACCCTGTTTCCAAATAAGGTCATATTCGGAGGTACTGAGTGCTTAGTGCTTCAACATATCTTTGGGGGACACAATTAAACCCAGAACTGATCCTCTAAAGGAAGAATGGGGTACAGTAGAAATGGATGTCTTGGGGAGGTGATGGAGGACTGGAGGGGAAGGATGCCAAGTTCAGGGAAGTCTGGCAGGGCCCTGGGCACTAGGATGGGATTTAGCGGTCATGCTCCAGCTGCTGGACAGATTGCTAGTATAGGTACCTGGAAACAGAAGATTAGAAACAAGAGGAGGGAAGATTAGAAAGATTAAAAGATTAGAAGATTAGAAACAAGAGGAGGGAAGACTCAGGTCTGGGAACCAAGCAAGACCCCTGGAGTAAGAGAGTTGAAGGTGACTTATTTTAACAATGGCTGCATGTAGGTCTCCAGTGAATTGGCCCGGAACACAAATAAGAAGAGCTGCCACTGGGAGCTACCAGCAGAAATCCCAGCTCATCCCTCATGAACAATGTGGCAAGGAATGCAGTTTGTTTTGGCCTTTGGAACCACATTTCTGAACAAAGATGGCGAGGGCTTTTGCTAGCATCCTGATTAAACAAGTACAAAACACAGAAATTAATGGCAGAATGAGCAATATATGGTAGGTCTCATGGGCTCTCCAACTTCAAGCTCTAAATTCTGGCTCTTCAAAACCCTTCCGTATGAGACATAAGGAATGAGGAATGGAACCTAATCCCTGAGTCCCAAGCCTCCTTAAGAAAAGATGCACATTTTCATCAGAAGGATAATCAATCTTCCCAGCAGTTCCAAAATCAGATGCAGAGTGAAAAAGGAATGCATTTAGTGAGTGCACATTAGCAAGTCATATAGCTTCATGTATGACTTATAGCTGTATTGATTATATATGCAAATCCAGACATTCATTTCAATTAGCATAATGCCTATAAATGATGTAATTTCTCAGTATGAGTGTGATCTTTCAACGTCAGTATCCAAATGAATACAAGTATTAAACATTCATACAAACAGAACAAATAACTGTTCAGCTACTGAATTTAGCTAAACCAGATGATTGGGCCATTTTCATACCCTCCTGGGTTCTTATTAGAGCAGGAAACCTTTTTTTTTTCCTTCTTAAGTTTTGATTAATTACCAATTTCAGGAAAATTTGACGGCTGCCGTGTGAAAGGTCTGACATACATCATAAAATCAGATATGGGTATGAGTCTTTGAAAACAGATGAGGGTACCCAGACATGGAAACTGAGGGGTCAGCAGCAGGGTGGGGTGGAGGCTGGCGGTGCCTGAAGCTGGTGAATGAAAAAGGAAGTGAGTCAGGCCCATGGGTCACTGCTTGGGCAAATATTAGCTCAAAAATCACCGCCTGAGCCTGTGACTTAAAGCCGACTTCTGGAGAATAATTTGTATTTTCTCACCAGAACAGGGACACACCATCAGGACTTGGCACCAATCAAGTTACATATAGGATCAACAATGTATTAAGAACAAAGATATATGGAGAAAAGCTTCGGAGAAAATAAAGATACCAAACAGTCCTTCAAATCATGGTGTGATGGGTGTCACACAAATCAGGTGTCAGCTTGGCCAGGCTAGACAGTGCTTGGTCAGACATCAGTCTAGATGTTGTGGGAAGGGTTTGTTTGTTTGTTTGTTTGTTTGTTTTTTAAAGATGTAATTAACATTTAAATCTGTAGGCTTTGAGAAAGCAGGTTACTCTCCATAACATGGGTGGGCCTCATCCATCAGGTGAAGACCCTAAGAGAAATGAATGAGGTGCCCTGAGGAGGAGGAAATTCTGCCTCCTGCTTGCTTCTGGATTGAGCAGCAACATCAATGCTTCCCTGGGTCCATACCCTGCCCTGTGGTTTTCAGACTTGTGAGCTTCCACACTGTTGTGAGCCTGTTCCTTAAAATAAGACTGTCTCTTTATCTATATTTCTTCTATTATATTATTGTATATAGGATATACATACTATAATACATAAGGATTCTCAATTGTATAAGAAGTATATAATGTAATGAACTTATGGATGAATTAACTTATTGTATTGTGTTAGTGTTTATATATGTATAAATGTATATGTTTCCTATTGGTCTGTTTCTCTCGAGAACTCTAATACGCTTGAGTTAGAAAGCTTGGATGTACCCTCCTCTCACACTTAGCCCAGTGTCTGTGAATGGAATACTACTTGCCTGGGACAATTCTTTATGGTGCAGGACTGTCCCACTCATCGCAGAGCATTTTTCATCCTTGTCCCTTTCTCCATTGAATACCACTAGTAGCTTCTTCCCAAGGCATTATGAAAACCAAAAATACTCGCACACACTCCAAACTCTCCCTAAGGGGCTGCCTGGTACTGGCCCAGTTGAGAATCACTGATTTAGTTCAACCTTCTCATTGAATGGATGAACAAATCGAGGAGCTGAGAAATTGTGACTTTTTTTCAATATTAATTAATAGCTAAACAGTCATGAGAACTAAGGGGTTTGGATTCCCAATTTAGTACATTCTTACCTCCTTTATAATTCTTACAGAATAAGCCTGAATGTGTTCATTTATATATTGAATGTATAAAAACTCTCAGCACCATATAAATTAAGCATTTAGCACATAGAATTTATTATTCTACTTTTCACATTTTTGAAACATCTGAAGCTAGGATGTAATCATTAATTGCTTGATTCTCCAGTGTCCTTTCTTTTTGGGGGAATAGTGTTCCCCATTGGTTTAGCTAAGTGGTTCCAGTAAGAGCTGTCCCATTCCTATGTGACTCTACCCTCTCAGGCTGCAACTGGCTTGAGTGGACGTCACAACCAAGGCCAGCCCACTCCTGTTAATTTTTAAACTCTGAATAAGGAGAGTCAACAGTTCCTTTGGAAACTCTCGGATGTGATGCCCAGGGGTTGTGGGTGGTTGTTTTCCACTGTGAGAGAGAGGTTGGTTTGCAGCAAAAGTGCGAGAGGTCAAGACAGAGAAAGAAGCAGAAATGAGAAAGGGGGGGGGTGGTCTCTGCAGGGGTGGGGCCCTTGGTTCCAATCATTTCTGAGACTGAGCTGCTCCCTTTCCTCCCTGGAGTCTGAATGGTGTGTCATTCACAACTAAAATCATCTTTTCTTTTTACCAGAAAATGACTCACTGAATTTTCTTTATGATGATGCACTAGAGAAGCCCAGCAATAATCACACTGGGGTTTGATGGCATAACCTGAGAGGGACTCCTAATCCTCCCAGTGAGGGCAATGATGTTAGCTATGTCACCTAGGTGACATCATTGTGTAGGGAAGAGAGCTGGAGGCTTCAATGAATTTGAAAGTGTACATCCATCACAATTTTCATCACCATTATCAGAATGAATCATCCAGACCTCTATTTTTTTTTCCTGAGTTTAGCATATGTGTCCTTATAGAAAGTTTCCTTTCTTTCTGAAATCCCATCCTTGCCATAGATGTCCAGTTCACACCAAAGTTCTATTCTTTGAGATACAGCATTTGGTGTGACATCTACAACTTCTCGCATACTTGCGTGCAGCAGGTGACTGAGCTGGGCTCTGTGTGGAATTTCTGATCACACAGGTGGGTAGTATTAGGGGGTTTTGTATTTGATCATGGGTGAAGTTCTTCTCATCCTTATATTCCCTCTTAGGATATCCACACAAGGACTCCTGCTGCTTCTTGCAGACCTAAGATATCCCCAGCTGATGAGGGACTTGGCAGATTGACTGATTGATTGTTTGTTCACCCCACTACCCACATTTGTTCTCTCTTTTCCTCCAGTGGTGCCACCCTAGCCTGACGTGCAAAGGGTGCGCGTCCTCACTCTGCACCAGCCAATGAGACACCACCATGCTGCCCATGATGAATCATATTGCAAGCCCAGTGAGCTGGGAAATGACACCAGTCCCCATATGCCAAGACCCATGCCTCATCTACCACAGAAGGTAGGACATACTTGATCTACTCACCTCAAACTGAAGAGAAAATTTATAGTCAGAGTCTTTGGCCATATCCTTGATGTAGGCATCAAAGTCATCCAGTTGAACTGGGCTTTACCAAACACAAAGAAATATATGTTTTAAAAATCTGGTTGGCAGTTATCTATACTGTTTAATGTTATACTTTTCAAACATGAATGATTTTCTTGGAGAAAAAAGCATTTTTACTTGCTCTTTTGTTGTTAAAGTAATCAGTACCTAGTATGTTGTGATTAAAAGAGGACCTTATATATTATACTCCCTTGAGATGGGAAAGAGCTCTAGATTTTCAATCGGCTCTAACTCCAGCAATAAAATATTATATATATGGGATGCCTTGGTGGCTCAGTTGGTTCAGCATCTGCCTTTGGCTCAGGCCATGATCTGGGAGCCCTGGGATCAAGTTCTTCCTTGCCCATCAGGGAGCCTGCTTCTCCCTCTGCCTGCTCTGCCTGCCACTCCCGTTGCTGTATTCTTTCTCTCTCTGACAAATAAATAAATAAAATCTTTAAAAAATTATATATATATGCATGCTTACATACATACATGTATATATGTTGTTTCTAGAAAATTCTGATTGATGGGAAATCACCAGGGATTAGAGTCTGGAGAACTGTTTGAGATGTGGTTTTATTTTACTTACTGTGTAATCATGGAAAATTGAATCTTGTGAGATTCAACGTTCTCCTCTATAAAATACTATGGTCATTCTTACCTTCCAACATTGACACACAGTATATTAAAGAACTTTAGAAATTTAAACAGCTTTACAAGTATAGGCTCCATACTGCTAGCTACACTGTCTTCTCAGGGCAGAGCAGGGTCAATGCAATGAAGCACATATCCAGAAAGCTTCTAGAGCCTCATTCCTTAAAGCCATGTTTAGAGGCTTGTGTGTCTATAAAAGTATCAAAAAGGGTCAAAGGTATAATCAAGTAATGCATCTGAGCTTATGTGTCTGTATCTCCAGCCGAAGTTCTCACCTCTTTCCTTCTTCTTTTTATGAATAAGAATTATATTTTATTTCTTACAGTTTTCCGTAGCTGCTTATCTTTCCTGGATTTTACCTACACCAACCTGCTCTTTAAGCATCACATGATACTGAGCTCTGGCAACTAGTCCAAGCCTTTCCACTTTGGCAGGATCCACACAGAGACCTTTCCCTTAGTCTTACTGCAAATTTCTCCACTGTATCCTCTACCTGTGGCCTTATGTCCTATTAGCAAATGCATAGTATTATGAATAGCTGTTTGTTTAAAGTTGTTGATTAACCAATATGACAGATTATGTTAAGATTTTAGTAGATTTTGAAAGATTTTTATTTATTTATTTGACAGACAGAGATCACAAGTAGGCAGAGAGGCAGGCAGAGAGAGAAAGGAGGAAGCAGACTCCCTGCTGAGCAGGGAGCCGATGTGAGGCTCGATCCCAGGACCCTGGGATCATGACCTGAGCTGAAGGCAGAGGCTTTAACCCACTGAGCCACCCAGGCACCCAAGATTTTAGTAGATTTTAAAGGGCATTACACCTCCCAGATTACACTTGAATTTTAACTGTTTCACTTAATAGCATTAATGACTTGGTTCCATAAAACACACCCCAGAGCATACATATTCGCATATGTTTTATTGCTCGGTTGATCCCTGAAGTAGACAACTGAAGACAAGTGATCCCTGAAGCAACATCAGCCCCATGCTTCAAGAGGGACAGCCAAGGCTAAGTGAGTAAAGTGAGTAGTTCAAGATCGCATGGCTCCTCAGCAGTGGAATGCTGACCAGCTCCGCAGGAGAATGTTTCTGGTTAAAGGACATCCCCACGTCAAATTTGCCACCTTCCAAGAGAATGACTAAAGGTGGAGCTCCAGTCCTAGAATGAATTCCCTTAGACCTGCCCTCTCTGGCTGTTGTCTTTGAACAGTGCATTGACCTTAAGGTTGGGTTTAACCAATCTAGCTTTCATCTCATTACCAGGAGAATGGAAGCACAAATAGGGAAGGCAATCTGAGAAAATATTTATGGGTTAGAAAAAGCAAAAGGAAAAGAGAGACAGAGGAAGGGCCAGGAAATAATAGAATGAACATCAGGGAGAGGGGAAGTGGGAATTATGGTAAAGAGGAGCAAAACAAGCTAGGAGGGAGGAGAGATCAGGAGGATAAAGGTTTAGGGAGAAAAGGGAGAAGAGAAGGTAGAACAGAGGACTGGTAAAGTGAGAATAGGTAGAAACTGGAAAGGGGAGCCACAGGGACATGGTGGGGTAGGAATGGCTCTGGGAAGGGAAGAGAAAGGGTAAAGAGAAAACAAATAAAAATGTGGGGCAGGGGCTCCCCCTTTTATTTTGTGTGTGTGTGTGTGTGTGTGTGTTTTAAATATTTTATTTATTTATTTGACAGAGAGAGAAATCACAAGCAGGCAGAGAGGCAGGCAGAGAGAGAGAGGGGGAAGCAGGCTCCCCGCTGAGCAGAGAGCCCGATGCCGGGGCTTGATCCTAGGACCCTGAGACCATGACCTGAGCTTAAGGCAGAGGCTTAACCCACTGAGCCACCCAGGTGCCCGGGGGTTCCCCTCTTTTAAAGGGGTTTTTAGAGAAGGCTTTTGGAGAAGGAGGGAGGACCAGAAAGAAAATGAGAAAAAGGAAGGAGGAAGCTGATTTGACATGACGTGATGTGATGTGATGTGACGTGATGTGGCTTGTGGGCAGGGTCCAACCACAACTGTACTTTACCCAGACTTTTGTCCATGTCTTGCTTCCCATCCTCCCTTCCAGGTTTTGGGAGGAGCAAGCCTGACAGAGTCTCCCATTTTGGTCCAGAGACCCTGTCTTCTAACATGCCTCTCCATCTCACTTAACAATCCAACCAAAAATTTTGGGCAACAAAGTCTTTCTGTTCCTGTCAAATCATTCTAGGTGACAGCTAGGTGACACTAGCTCTCTTCTATTTTGGTTGATGTTGTCTCTCCTGCATCAGTTGATATATGCCAATGGAACACACACTGATTTGAAATAGATTTAGGAAAGAATTATTCTGTTATCTATCCGTACCTGAAAAAATCTGTATGTCACTCAAGGCTAAATAGAAATATTTTGCATCAACATTTTTTTTAAATGTAATCCACTAGCGTGAATGCCACAGATTTTTTTTAATTTAAAAAACATTTTTTTAAATGTTTAGTTAGTTACTATATGGTACATCATTGGTTTTTGATGTAGTGTTCCATGATTCATTATTTGCATATAATACCCAGTGCTGATTATAACACATGCCCTCCTTAATACCCATCACCCAGCTACGCTATTTGTCCCTTCACCTCCTTCCCTCTGAAATCCTCATATTGTTTTCCAGAGTCCATAGTCTCTCATGGTTCTTCTCCCCCTCTGATTACCCCACTTCAGTTTTCCCTTCCTTCCCTGAATGTCCTCCATGATAGTCCTTATGTTCCACATATGAGTGAAGCCAAGTGGTAATTGTCTTTCTCTGCTTGACTTATTTCACTCAGCATAATTCCCTCTAGTTCCAGTCATGTTGATGCCAATGGTGAGTATTCATCCTTTCTGACAGCTGAGAAATATTCTAGTGTATATATGGACCACATCTTCTTTATCCATTCATGTGCTGAAGGTCATCCTGGCTTCCTCTACAGTTTGGCTATTGTGGACATTGCTGCTATGAACATTGGGGTGCATGTGCCCCTTCTTTTCACTACATCTGTATCTTTGGGGTAAATACCCCCTAGTGCATTTGCTGGGTCATAGGGTAGCTCTATTTTTAACTTTTTGAGGAAACGCCATACTGTTTTCAAAAGTGGCTATATCAGCTTGTCATTCCACCAACAGTATAAGAGAGTTCCTCTTTCTCCACATACTTGCCAATATTTGTTGTTTCCTGCCTTGTTAAATTTTGCCATGAATACCACAGATTTGACTGGAATCCCTAATTGCCTCCTATTAATTCATCAATATTTTATCCTAGGCAAATATCAAGGATAAACTCTAGGTATGGAAATTTTCCACTCTTTATATGCAGAGTTTTAACTAATGGCCTGGAGGTGACAATCTAATTAGACCTTTGAAATCAACTGATGGGTAATTTTTTGCTCCAAAATCTTAATTCTTATGACTTAGCAATTCAGTAGGTAAGTGAAACCAAGGCTAGCTACAATAATTATTCTTTTCTATTTATTACAAAGACTTCCTGAGACAGCATTTCTCAAAGTACTGATTATAATATCAAATAGAGTAAAAGCCTTTCCCTGCACTAAGCACAGCATTTCAAGTATAAAATGGCAAAGATTTTGGTACAACTTTGATTTAGCGAACTATTAGAAGTTTTCTCGATTTAGAATGGCAAACCTCCTTCTACAAGACTTTTATAATTCCCAACAGTGCATTCTTTCTCAGTTTTCATATGATGACAATTTTCCTTATTCCTGACCTGTTTTCTGTGATACACTTTCTTAGTGACCTCTACCACCCATACGAGTAATATGGTTTAGCTGTTGAAATATACACTTGCTTCTTTTTAATGTTTTCTTTCTTTAAGTAATCTCTATACTCAATGTGGGGCTTGAACTCACAACCCTGAGATCAAAGTCGCATGCTTCTCCAACTGAGCCAGCCAGGGCCCCTACATTTGTCTCTTTCTTTAGCATCCCTCCTATTGGAAGACAAGCAATCGTTTTGATTTGCGAAATGAAGATCACTGGGAAGAACTTTAAAAATTTTTTTAAAAAGAAACAGTAAGGAAAACTTACCATATTATATACTTCAAAGTTTCTAAGACTAATCTTTAATGTTTTCACTACAAAAAGAAACAGTAATTATGTGACAGGATGGAGGTGTTGGCTGAATGCTATGGTGAGACTCCTACTGCCTTATATCGGTGTATTAAATCAACACATGGCACACCTGAAACTTACACACTGTTCTAGGTCAGTTATATCTCAATAATAAAAAAGCAACTTACTTAGTCAGTTTCCTCTTCTTTAAACCATTTTTACTCCTGAGAATTAAAAAAAAAAAAGACAGCTTTATTTGGACAAAAGAATCAATTGACATAATGATGAAACTTTAAGAGCTTTAAATAATTACATCAGACACCTCACTTTTATTTAATTTTCACTAAACATACCTCCAGTTTGTTTAATTACTTTTCCTTAAATGAGAAGATGATAATAATTTTAGATTCACTTCTTAAACAGTCTATTAGATTACAGGAACATACTTGTACTTTACATTTTGGGTTTGCCAAATACTAAATTCTAGAAATAAAATCTCTTGCTATTAAGTGGCTGAAGTATTTTATAAATAAATAGAAATATATGTTGCCTAAAAACTCAAAGATCTATAGCTGAGAAGGAAAGAATTGGGGAATAAAAGGGAGACCTACATGTCTGGGAAGGTGGACATGTTGGTTGTCAAAGACTCAAAGAACCTTTTCAGTATCTTCCCTGGGAATGTGACTTTGCACTCTCCATGTTGGAATGTATCTTTTTTTTTTTTTAATTAAGATTTATTTATTTATTTGAGAGAGAGAGTGTGTGTGTGTGCACAAGCAGGAGGGGCAGAGGGAGAGGCAGAGAAAATCTCAAGCAGATTCTGTGCTGAGCACAGAGCCTTATGCGGAGCTCGATCTCATGACTCTGAGGTCATGATCTGAGTGGAAACCAAGAGCTGGATGCTTGACTGACAGCACCACCCAGGCACCCTGGCACGTATCATAGAATTCTACTATGGCATTGTTCTTACTCAATTTTGAGGTATTTTTTAAAGCTATCTGAAGAATTGTACCTATTACTTACTATTTCTTAATTCATTGTTATTCTGTAAGCTCAAACATGGGCAATGTTAATGCATGCTTCAGTTAGTTACATTTTTAGGGGGCATTTAGGGTAATCATTTTCAACCAATAAGAGATAACTGACCTAAGTTAGTGAATGCGAATATGGTCTCTGCTGAAACACTCCATTACTGTATTTTTATTGTTTTATATAAATGACAAATATTGATATGATTATGAGTAACCGTTTTTACAAATAGTTTCCCAAGGTCTTTAAGTATTGATAGAAGCACTCAAACTTGCAGAAAATAAGCCATCTGTAGTAAATAACCAGTGTGATCTGAAGACTCTCATGTGCCAGAATATTTATTATATTAAAAATTGTGGGGGTGGTTAGGTGGCTCAGTTGGTTAAGGAACCTGACTCTTTTTTTTTTTTTAAGATTTTTATTTATTTATTTGACAGAGAAATCACAAGTAGGCAGAGAGGCAGACAGAGCGAGAAGGGGAAGCAGGCTCGCTGCTGAGCAGAGAGCCCGATGCGGGGCTCGATCCCAGGATCCTGGGATCATGACCTGAGCCGAAGGCAGAGGCTTTAACCCACTGAGCCACCCATGCGCCCCGGAACCTGACTCTTGATTTCAGCTCAGTTCATGATTTCAGGCTTGCAAGATTAAGCCCCGATTCCAGCTCCCTGCTCAGCTCAGTCTGCTTGAGAATCTCTCCCTCCATCTCCCCCACCCCCTGCTCATGCTCATTCTCTCTAAATAAACAAAATCTTAAAAAAAATAAAAATTAGAATTGTGAATATCCGAGTATCTTCATTTCTAGAAAGTCTGTAGCACAATGGAACACTGCTTCCTCTGTGCTCTTGTAGCGTGTTGTTCATGGACTGATTCTCCCAGGGTCTGTCAGTTGCTTCTGTGCTCCTTGCTACATAGTACTTCCCCCTTCCCCTCCCCCCCTTCAAGAGCTGAGCACAGGTAATAGGACACACTGTGGTGCTCAATAAGTGTTTCGTGAATTAGGTTGAAACAAAATACCTTTGCTGTGTTGCCCCCACAATTTTACTTAATGATTCAATGAGGAGTTTGATACTAGACTCGGGAAGTGGAACTGGTGGATGGATAGGAAGTTACAAAGGGCAGGGAATTTAGGGGAAATACCCATTTAGGCAAGTGGTGTTTCTGGTTCTCATTTCCTGGTTGCAGGCCGTTTTTATTTCTTCCTACTTCTGAGTGACAACAATCCATTCCATAGCTATTTGTTCTCCCTCATCTTCTGTCTTTCACGTTTGGGATATAGAGGGAACAGACATTCCATTTTTTATTTTGGCTCTCCCTCACCCCCTCAAAAAACCACTGTGATGTTGGACAGAGTTGTATCATCTAGGCATTTGGGAACCTAAGAGAACAGCTTTTGAATAATTTCTACTCAGCTCTTGTGAGGCCAATGTGGTTAACTTTAGGAATCCCACATTCACTTTGTATCATGGGAGCTAAAGACTTTGGTGCTTTATGACAGAGGAATGTCTGCTGAGATAACTAACGGTTTGGTGAAGTCAGGAGGCTTCCAACATGTTTGGTGATTGGGAGTGGGAAAGAAAAAAACAAACCCCAAACCAAACTTTTCCTATCCAAACAGACTTTAAGGGAAACTGGGAAGAAACAAATGTATGTGAGAGAGTGACACTGAATAAATTCAGTGCTGAAATATTAAGCTGCTACTATTCAACAGCTGTGTAGAAACCTGATTCCTGGAAGACAGTCACTTTTTTTCTTTCAAACTCATTCATTGATTGAATTTTACATAGAATGTAAAATTCTACCACATGTTTTCAATAACTTAATGCCAAAAGTGTATGTTTAAGTGTATGTCTTCATGATTTGTGTACAACCTTTATGTTCTGCTTAGATTTTGCAGAATTCCCAAAGATTCCAAATTCTCATATCCTTAGGCTGTGGGACAAGGACAGGACTGAATTATGAGACTCCACAACCATGGGGATGGAATTTTCCTACTTTTTCAATTGTTGTGCTAATTCTAAGACTTAAATTAGGGGATGATTCACTTTTAAACATGTAAATGAAGGTTTTGCCAGCCATTTGGACATCAGGACTTTATGGAAAGAGCTAGTGTGTGTGCCTGTTATCGTGAACATTTGAGGAGATGTTTAGGATGTCATCTTGTCATTGCAAAAGATTTTTTGAGTCATTGATAACACGCATAGACAAACAGCATACAGGCATACACGGTCATGCACATCTGTTAATTTTCTCTTTTAGTTTTATCAGTTAGGGAAGGTTCAAAATCTTAATGACTGCAAGAAGTTAAGATGAGTAAGTCCTTCATGGTTATGAGATATTGGAAAGCAGGACAGACAGGAATTCATTGCGAAGGGGAATATGAAAAGAGGCCATGGAAGAAGCATGGGATTTACAATGACTAAAAACAAACAAACAAAACCACCCTGAAACAACTCTAACTGTCCCCAACTTCCCAAGTGCTACTTACTTTTTCATGAGCTAACTGGATATCATCCCCAACTCTTAAAAAGGCGTTTAGAGTTATATCATTCTCTGAATAAAATATGCAATAACCAGGAGGAAAGCTGAGCAGTTTAAACTAAATGTTGCTTCACGGTTAAAATGACAACTGTGGCGGGTTTCGAGCAGGCAGATGGATAGTTCAGCAGAGCAGGAGGTGACTATGGCATTAATAAAAAGAGTAGTAACAATGAATCCAGATAGAGCTGGTCCAAAAGAAATGGTTTTCTCTGACTAGGAAACCCGAACTGAGATGAGGGTAGCCAGAAATCCTGGCAGGACACCATCTTAAGACTAAGCCACCTCAGGCACTGGTGACCAGCTCCGGTTTTGCTATTACCCTGGGAGAAGATTTAAGCAACATGATGAGAGAGAAAGCGTCTCCTGATATCCACACGGACCACTCATCAGGAGGATTTAAAAAAATTAACGGGAACATCTATTCCCACAAAGTTGGCAGTTTAGAGAAGAAATCAGGCTGTGTGTGAGGAAGGAGGTGGGTGGGTGGCTCTGTTTCTAATGGTTGTTAACAGACGAGGTGAAATATGAAGTAGACGCATCTGGAAGAGGTTTAAAAATGACTATCTAAGAAATGAAAGCAGGGGGAAACATCCACGTGTTACTAGAAGAAGAGAAAAGTCGCCAACAGTAAGGACCTCAGGTGGCTTTGGGAGTGCTAAGCTAGCTGTACCTGAAAAAAAAAAAGAAAACAAGGATCGTGTATTTTCCTTTTGTTATATCTGACCTAGCACAAGCCTAGGGCTGAAAACAGAGTTGATGTTTAGTGTATTCTCATTGGTTTCTATGTGTATGCCTTACTGAAAGTGACAGAAAGCCTGGGGCTCCATGTTTTGCTTTCTCTTCTCACCAGGAGATAACCATTTACAGCCTCAAGACCATTCTTCTAAAAATGACTGAAGGGTTTTTTTTTTTAAACAAACAAACAAACAAACAAAAAGACTCTAAACAAAAAACAAACAAACACAACTAGTGAAGGGTTCCTCCACTAAGTAGGGTCTCATGCTAGTTGATCAGTACTATAAATAGACCGTGAAGGGGTTGTTAAAATTTGAAGATGTGTGCATCAGGGGACCTATTAAGAAAGACATGCAAAAAAAAGCACAGGCCTGATATAAGGGTAGAAGCTACACTGTGGGAAAGTCAGAGAATTAAGCAGAAAAATTAATACAATAGTATATGCATCTTTCTTGCCTGTGTTTGAACCGGAATCATGGAGGGTACTTTGAGGGTATTGGGTACAAGTATTCTGATGACAGGTAGAATACTTGAGAATGATTAGTAGGTGTCGAGTGAAAAGTGATGCATATTTTGAAGGTCAAAATGGAATTTCAGCACTACTCGTACCTGAATACTATCGATGTCAAATACTTAAAATACCGTGTTGGCTATTGTAAAGCCCTATACTCAAACCTGTTATTAAAACCAACTTGGAGTAACAGCGAATGAGTCCTCATCATCTAGGACATTCTTCTGATTCCATTACTTAGCACATCAGTGTCTACCATGTTTCAACACTTTTCCTCTGTTCTCTCTTCAAAAAAAAAAAAAAAAAACAAAACAACCCCTCCCCGCCCCCCAATGCTGGTATTAATCTCTTTTGTGAGGAAGTCCTTTTTGGTATTTCTTCCATTGCAACTTGAAATCCTAACCTTGCCGACTGTGTTTATTCTGTCTTTGGAGGAGCTGAGGAACATTTGATCAACTGCCTTTTGGAATAAATAACTCTATAGATTGCTTTTCATCTTTCACTCTCCCCCCACTCTCCCCACTCAGGCGCCATTTTTTCCAGTTCATGAGCTATTTTTTTTTTAAAGATTTTATTTATTTGACAGACAGAGATCACAAGTAGGCAGAGAGGCAGGCAGAGAGAGAGGAGGAAGCAGACACCCTGCTGAGCAGAGATCCCAATGCAGGGCTCGATCCCAGGACTTGAGATCATGACCTGAGCCAAAGGCAGAGGCTTTAACCCACTGAACCACCCAGGAGCCCCTCATGAGCTATTTTTATTGCTTTTTTCTAAGTCCTTCTGTACTTGTCCATATATCTGGATCTGTCTGTACATAATTTAGTACCTAAACACCTTGGATACTTCAGGACAATGATTTTTGTTTTTGGTCAGGAAACTACTACCTTTTCTCCTGTGGCTCAGTAAAGGAAACAGTCCTTCTAGATATGTTAGTCCCAGATTTTGAAATTATTGTTATTAGATTTTATGCAAACTGAAAAGGATACTATTTGAGATTTGATTACTAAAATGATTTAAAAGTTAAGAAAAGGAGAATTTAAAGAAGCTGCTTTTTATGGAGTAAAGAATAGATTTTGCAGACACTGGGGATTGGAACCTGGATTCTCTATATAGTGGTATGATGTTAAGATAATCTCCTTAAGCCTCTATTTCCATGTGTCTAGGATGGGACTGTGCAGAGTTGTGAGGACAATTAAATAAGATAATTAAATAATGAAGCTTTGCACTTAGTTGCTCAATATTCATTGAAGAATATTAACATTAACATTACTATGAAAACATTTACACCGCAAACAAATAGTATTCTGCACTTCTCTACCTAAATGCATTTCTTCCGTTTTGGAAATACGAGGCTCTCTAATGGATGGAGATGGTAAGGAAAATGGAAAGCATCATTTACAAAGATGAGAAGCCAATGCATTTACTGAATGAAGAAACAAATGACTAGTAATAAATGGAAGAAAAGCTTGCCAAGAACATCCCAAGAAGAAAATTTTAATTGGAAAAACATTATAGTTAGTTAGCATGTTGTTACCATAAACTCTTTTAATCCATTTCAACACATGATTAATAATTTTAGATGCAGCCCAAACACATCAGATAATTAAAGAGAATTTTTCCTTTCGGTTTTACTTCTGGAGAGCTAACTTTATAGACTTTGTGTTACGTAAACAGTAAAAAAAAAAATCACTTACCAAGGATTAATATAAAATGCCAAAAGATAATCAGTCCAAAGACATGAGGGTAGCAGGGTTAAGAAAGCAAATATACTCCTACGCCTGTGAGCATTAATAGATATAACAGATGTAAAGATGAAAAAGTGGCAAGAGTTAGTAACATAAACTGTGAACAGATTATCAGTAAATCACCTACTGGGATCAATTAAAATGACAAGCATCTTAATTACAATTAAATATTATTCCATCTGAAACGTGAGGGTTTACGTGCTCTCATATTGCCAACACCAGTTTTATTCACACACATCCATACGGTAATCAGATATATTCCTTTCAACTTATTTTGTGTCGATTAGTCTGCTATTAAGTGATTACATTTTACATTCAGTTTAAAGAGGCTCTTAAATGCCTCATTAATTATCTCGTCTTATTCTTGGATATTATTATCTCTGCCATGCTTGAACCTATTTTAAGGAACCATTATAGCATCATTTGATCACTAACAGCGGCTTGTGTGAGGAAATATCTACCAAAGCTCAATTTCCGCCTATGCTGATTCTAGGAAAGACCTTATGCTTCTGGGGTGCATTCTTATAAAGCTGCACTCTCAGGTGTGACTTTCTATATTACTTTTAGTTTAAGTAAATACACCATCGCTGAAAAATAACTCTTAAAACAGAGCTATGGGAGGATGCTCAGGTATCACTGATTCAAGACGAGTAGCTCATGAACCTGCCTGGTCCGTAATATGACTAATATTGAGCTGAGTGAGAGCAAGAGTATTTTGTCGTACTTTGTTTCTAATTCAGTCTACTGGTCTAAAAAGTGGGGTGTGAATGAAATTTCAGGTATTTAAACCATGTACAAAATAGAGCATTCATTAATGTTGATTTTAAAATAGCCTCTGTCTGAGTCTATAGCTACACTGGGAAGTAGGATGAGAAATGCTGTCACTTTGTCACTTGAGTCACTACAAGTTTCACTGAGAAATCTATTCTGTCAGCCGGAACAGGCTGGTGCTGGCAAAACTGTGTTTGCCAAGAGCAGGGGGAGAGTTTTGTAGATTTTCTAGAAAGGTCCTGAAGTGAATTTTGCCTTAGCTCTCCCATAACTGGTGTCCCATATTCTATCAATTGGGATTGAGTGTTCAGTTAGTCAATACATAGACACCTGTCCTGAGTCACAAGTATGATTGGGTAAATTTCTAGATGGGCTGTTCTTCCTTGCTTTGTGACTGGGCCTTTTTAAAGGGCGAACCAGACAAGGATCAGTGAATTAAGTTTCTTAAACTTGGCAAGACTGTTAATATATTTGAAGAAACCTAGAAAGAACTGTTTACTAACTTTTCACCATTGAGGGGTTATGAGTTTTCCTTCTTCACAGCTGGATTAGTTATAGTTAAATAGCAAAATTCCATTCAGGCTAAAATTTAAAAATAGTACAACATATTGTCTTATTAAAAAGAATCCTATTTCAAGTAAACTTTCCACTGCTAGATGCCCATTCAGGGAAGCAGAAGTTATATTACAATTAAAGCCCTCCCTTCTTCATGGATTCTGTAAAGTTTCTAGTCTCACCTATCTATTTCTTGAAGATCACCATTTTGGGGGATTAGGAAAACAAGAAAAAAAAAAGACCATTTACCAAGGATTAACATGAAATGTATCCATTTAAATTAATATGCTTTGCATTGTGGCTTGCAGAAGAAACCAACCTGATCATGTAAGCAGTGCTGGCTTTATATTTAATGGTGACATCATTAACAGTTTTGTTGGGTACTCAATGCAGTGCACAGCAGATAGGATTGTTAATTCTCATATATCAGTGTTAAGGTATAATATCAAGCAATTTAGTCTTCTGGTAATGTTTTCTTAATTCTCCAAATACCTCCTCCTTTTAGGTCCTTAATACTCATGCATGGGGAAAAAAATAAAATAAGGCTAGGTTTTCCCACGGGACTTTACTGCCTTTGCTATTTATTTACCTGTAAGCGTAAGAGTCGAGAGCCCTGGACTGAATATGTCTCCTCAATTCTGAACAGAAGTGGGGGCTCATATTCTCAGGCACTGAAATGTCACTTGGAAATAGAGATGCTACCCTGTCTCCTGCTGCCTCGCTGGGGTCTGTCCTGTGCCTTTGTGACCACTTACTCCTTCAGTGTGACTCCTGCATTGAAGCCCTTCTTCAGCAAGGTTTGGGGCTACATCCATGCCTGTGTTAGTCCTTTGTTTAATATAGTGAATACTCAGCAGACTAAGACATTTTCTTTACCTCATAATATAGTAAACCTATACAAACTAATATATTCAGTGATGAAAATCTAACCTTGGAAGGTCCACTCTTTCCAAAGTTGTGAAAGCACAATCAGACAAAGCCATGTAACCCTCCAAAAGAGTAAAATAAAGTCTGGAGCACACACACAGCATAAATAAGCTATCTAGAGGCTTGTTCCAAAGTGGTGCTCACCAATTGTATGGAAGCTTTCCATCACGCTCCAAAGACGCAAAATTGACAAAGGTTCCTGCTCCGCATTCCCTGTTCGAAAGGAACCACAAAATCAAAGGTTACTGCTTGACAGAGCACTCTTTTACCTTGACATAAAAGAAAGCCTCTACTGTCTTATCATCACAGCATTAAATTAAAAAATATAAGCTAATATAAATTCCATGTGTTCCTCTTTTGCATGCAATGTAAAATAGAAAGATAAAAAAGTTTTTCATAAGGTTACACATGCCCTAATCACGTTATTTGAAGCCAAGAGGATTTGGTTTACAATCCTTTCCAAAGGGCACTCGTGATCCTAACATAAATCTTTGAACTATTTGGGGTATAATATTTTTCACAAAGCCTCTAGCTTGAGGGTTTTCTGTTTTTAGCACATATTCTTTGTGTTTTTTTTTTTTTATTAATTTCTTATTTTTTCAGCGTAACAGTATTCATTATTTTTGCACCATGCCCAGTGCTCCATGCAATCCATGCCCTCTCCAATACCCACCACCTGGATCCCCCAACCTCCCACCCCCCTCCCCATTTTGATTTCTTCTCTAAAATGGTGGCGGATCAAATTGGATTTTTTTTTTCCTCCAAAACGTTCCCCTCATGTCAGGATGCCCATGAGATTCATCACTTGAGGTGAGAGTAGAAAGAGTGAGACATACTGAATCAGATTGGCTCACATGGAGCCTCTTATTCAAAAGGTTGCTTATTAATCTGTCAGTAGAAAATATTGTTAAAATTTGTTTTTTTCCAGAAGTGGAAGGCGAAGTAATACATATTCTCATGTTTTTTTCACCTTTGGCTAATGTCAAGGATAAACAACACAGCTCACCAGCACTCACGCATCTCATTCCCCTCCCCCCAGATGAAATTGATGGACTTACTCAGAATTGAAGCAGAGATTTTGACACTATTGACACATCTGCTAATCACTTTAACGATCTCCCTGTTCTTATTACCATGTTCTGAGAACCGTTTTCTTTTTTGAAAAATGCACTATATTGTTATGCTGTGTTAAAAATTACACATCAATTCATTTTCCTTTGTCAATTTCCCATATATAGGAATTATTTTACCCTGTAATTCAAAGGTTCTTACCTGGGGTTCAAGGATGGAATTTAGAGCTCCATGAACAGAGCAGGGGGAAAAGTACTCTTGTTTTCACAACCTCTAACTGAAATTTAGCAATTCTTTTAATTACTAAAATAGGCAACAGGCCACAATAGTTTCATCAGTACTGGTGAAAATGCTAACCACAGAAACTACAGATGTTTTTCTATAATGAACCTGTGGCAGATGTTGCAGTATTGTTCACAATCATCACTCTGATGAAATTATGAGAGTTATTAGACACCCTACAAATATTATCTAATATATTAATAAAGTAACATGCATTTGTTTTTTAAATGCATCAATGCAATTTCATAGAATTAATTTCTTTTTAATTCTATGTATTTTATTTTTTGCACTTAAAAAGAAAACATTATTCTTGGAAGAGCGCCACAGGCTTAATCAGATTGCCGGAAAGGATCACGACACAAAAAATGTGAGGAGTCTCTGCACTAATGATCGGCAGGCCGAAGTAGAACCACTTCTAATCATCTTGCTGCATGCACCAAGAGGGCTCCTGGAATGGTACCTGTCACCACACTTATTCCCAGTCCTGCCACAATTTCTATTATGAGCTCACATTTGCTGCGTGCTTTCCAATTACGGCGTCCTTGCTCCTCACCACCACTAACGTAGGGGCTATCCCCATCTCTTCCCCATAAACATTCTTCCCCCTGTTCCCAGGCTCTATACACTTTGCTATAAACTTTGTTACTTTATACACTTCGTTAGTTTTCCTTGAACTCCACTAGATGCCTCTGGCCAGTCAGTCTCCTGTGCTCTTATCTTTTTTTTTTTTCCTCCCCTGAAATCTTAGTATTACATTGTTCCTTGCTTACTGCAAGGCCTTCTTCTTTCATCTATGCACTTGCCCTCGGTAAAGAATTTCATCCGGTCTATCGCTTTAATACCACTTACACGCTAACAACTCCCAAACTTGTATCTTCAGGGCAGACTTCGCTCCTGAACACCAGACTTTTATGTTCAGATGCTGACCCCACACCTGCACTTGCAGTCGTCTCAAACTTAACATTTCCCAGACAGAAGTCTTGTCGCTCCCATAACTCTGGAATCCTCATCTGGAATCCCATTTCCGATGATGGCAACTCCATCCTTTCAGTCATCTTTGACCCTTATTCATTTCCATTTCACGTGTGATCTGTGAGCAAATCCCCTTACCAAATGCCTTTATTTTAAAAATATATCCAGTATTTGATCATTTCTCCCCACATTCATTGCTGTGACCCTGGACTAAAGCACTACCATCTCTTGTCTGGGTTACTATAATGGCTGCCCCCGTTAATACGCCTGCTTCGCCTCAATACAGACTGTTTTCTCATGTAAGCTGGCTCTTCTGCCCCAAGTCCTGCAGTGGCTTGACTCAGAATAACGGCGAGAGTCTTTACAACGGCTTACAAGGCTCTGTGTGATTTGACATTATCTCCTGCTGCTCTCCCCTTCATTTCCTTTACGTTAGCTATGCTAACCTTACCGCTACTTTGTGAACATGTTCCTGCCTCAGGGCCTTTCCACCGGCCCTTCCCTCTATTGGGCATACTGTTCTACCAGAAAACACTAACTCCCTTATGTCCTTCACATGTTTCCTCAAGTACAATCTTTTCAGTGAGACCTATCCAGCTCCCTGAGCTCCTGTCTGTATACTCCAGACATCTGTACTCCTAATTTCCCTTATCTGTTCTATTATTTTTCTCTTACTGTCGGCTCACAAACCACACAACCTTTTTACTTATATCAGTGTAATTTATTGTCTACCTCCTGTGCTAGAATAGGAGCTCCATGAAGGCAGAAATTCTTGTCCATTTTATATACTGTCATATCGCAAGCATCTGGAAGAGGATGACACATAGCGGGTGTCCATTAATATTTATCAAAATAGCCATTAATATTTGTTCATATTAATGGATGAAGTTTCAGTGAACTGCACAAGGTCATATAGATTGTAAATTAGGATCTGATCCCAAGGAGTATAATTTCAGAGCTCTCTATATGAGCCCCAGTGTGGTACCACCTTCCTGCCTATCCTTCTAAGAATAGTTTAAATGCCAACAGTCATAAAGCTTGATTTTTATATTCAGAACCAATCTCTTTTCTCTATGTTCAGGGAATTCCATTTTTTAAAAAGATTTTATTTACTTATTTGACAGAGACACAGCAAGAGAGGGAACACAAGCAAGGTAAGTGAGAGAGGGAGAAGCAAGTTTCCCCCTGAGCAGGGACCCCGATGTAGGACTCTATTCCAAGACCCTGGGATCATGACCTGAGCCGAAGGCAGATGCTTAACTGACTGAGCCATGCTGATGCCCCAGGGAATCCCTTTTTTATCTCCTTTCTGGGGTAGGTCAGTTTATACCTTTAAATATATTTCTTTATGTACATATCTCCAGCCATGTTCTCAATTTCCTAGTAGACAGCTTGGATGTCTGATTTTTATTTAGTTATGCCAGATAAGACACTGATTAGATCATTATTGGATTGATAAGTTTATTTATGACTAGGCAACTGATAGAACTCTGAGAAAGAAGAAGTATGTTGATAGACAATTCATCAGGCTAACACTGGGTAAATATAAATTTGAACCAAATTTCCCAAACCCAGCAGTATTAGAGGCAACGATTTTAAGAGAATTGATGGATTTTTCTGATAATACAGGGGACCACTGAAAATTCTTGAGAATGTGCTTTGATAAGAAATGCATCAGTGGTCAAAGGAATAGGGAATCACTAAAATCATAAATCAAAAGTCTTTTCTAGCTGCAAGAAAAATGAAAACTGCCTGAACTCTGAGTAGTAAGAACAAAACTAATAGGGGACCTCCAATGGACCTAATCATAAACTCTACAAATGTTTTCTGATAAAACAGCTTTGGCAGAACTGATGAAGAGAGGGACTTTTTTTCCTTTCTTGTGGTCTCTTCATATATTCACTCTTCTCATGAATCATACTGAGTAGCCAGAGATCTTTATTTTTCTCCAAAGTATATTTGAAAGTATCCAATGTCATTAGTGGATCTCTTTGCATGGGTCTCTTAAAATCACAAGACTGATAGTGAGAGGTCTGGATTTGTGTAAACAATCCTTTGTTTTGTCATTTCCATGATTATGTTTTCTAAAATAACTTTTAAAAGTCTACTTCGAAAACACAAAACAGACACTGAAAACCAAAATCAAACTTACCGCTATGCAATTAAATATTAAAGTATTTTAAATTACACATTAAAATATTTTAATATTATTAAAATAATTTTAAATGACATTTATAAATTAAATTATGAGTTAAAATACTTGAAAGCCCTGCTGTACAATTTTGGTTTGCAAAAGCAGATCTGTAAGATAAATTAAAATATTTTAAAGCCCTTGTGTAAAAAAATCAACAAAACTGACCTTACCTTGCCATCTGGAGATGCTTTTTCCTCAGAATGATAAGGGTCACGAGCAGCAGTCCAATTAACAGAGTGCTGAGGATGGCCAACACCGAGATGACTACCACATTAGGGTTCATCTCTGTAACTAAAGAGAAAAGCCATGCGTTTTCATTATAACTTCCATTACATGAAACTAACCCAACCACTCATCATTTTCCATTGATTTTTAACACCACTGAACATAGAATGATGACAACAACAGCAACGGTGATATTTCCCCAAGCCGACAATGACCTCCTCGTGGTCAAACACAACCTCGTAAAGTAGGTTGACAAATGGCATTCAGGTGCCTGGCAGGATGTGTCCATCTCAAAGCATTACATCCCAAATGTTCTTATCCAGGAGAACTGTACAATGTGAATAGTGCCTGGACCATAGTTTAAATTCCTTTGAAACTCAAAAAAAAAAAAAAAATCTAGATGTCATCACCATGTATTATGACTGTTTAGGGTTTTCAAAAGTTTAGAGAGTGGCAGGTTTTCATTTTATGCCTATGACTTTAAAGTCAGAAAGCACAACTGTATATTATGCTCACAACTAAGAATGTATATGAAAAAGGCATTAGCAAGCTACCATCTGCCGCAGCACTTAACACATCGCTAGAATCAGGCATTATGATGATCTGTAACCATATGTTGAGAGGTTTTCCATCTGCACAACTCAAGAGATTAAACCTATTAATAAGGCATAGTGTCCTTAAGAACAGGGCTACGTCCCTTCCCTCTACTAATATGGAGGCTGTTATGGCACATGCACATCTGAAGTGGGAATATATTTCAAATGTTTTCATAAAATTTAACCAGAGAAGGACCAGAGCAGGGGAGAATGACACCATCCTCTGCATTGACCATAAAATCACAGAACTGGGGGCGCATTCAGTCCCTATACGTCTCTGTGTGTTTCCCACTTTCCATTTGGGCCAGCATGACTCCCGCTCCCAAGCAGAGTAATTGAACAGAAGGAACATTAGACTCATGATCAGGAGACCTTTTTCAAGTTCATTTGACTACTAGCTGCCATTCGGAGAAGCTATTTTATCTGTCTCTCTGGGCTTCATTTTCCTCACTCATAAATAAGTTGAATAATACACCTATTTCATTGGGTTGCTATAGCCATGACAAGGAATAGTGAACAGGAAAGGCTACTTGGAATGGTGTCCAAGCACACAGAAGTGAAAGACTATTAATATCCTTTGTGGGTCCATTTTTGGTCCCCTTTTCCGGAAAAATAACAATTTAAAACAGAAGACAAACAGAAGGTGACTCTCATCATCACTGAATAGAAACACATACAATGAATGCGAAAGAAATGGAAATGCAGCCAGTGAAGGGATCACGTGACACTGAGAGCGGTACTATTACACAGGTGTCTTTGTGGGTGATCTTGGACTGCTGAGTCAGCCTCCAACAACAAGGCAGTGACACATATAACTCAGAAGGAAAAAAAAAAAAGAAAGCACCATTTTTCTAGAGTTTTCATTATTTCTAATTCCACAATACCAACATCCTCCCCCTCCATCCCCGCCGATAGTTTGGCTTGATTGGGAACTTGCCCGCTTTGTCCCAGGAATTTAGTAACGTCATCGCTTGACCAGGGATGACTGAGGGCCCAGGAGACCACAGGAGAGCCCGAGTGGATCAGGGTACTGTGGCCACCGCTGGGGAGTAGGATGAGGCTCGTGGAGTGGATATTAGGGCTTTCAGCGCTTCATTTCTATGTCAGTACAGCTCAACAAGGGACGTATATTATGATTGCAATTTTTTAGATGGGAAAGCAGAAGTTCCTAGATGGTCAATATCTTTCCCTCAATCACAGAGGGAGTGAGTGCAGTGATGGGCTCCCTGTCCTCAGAGCCTGAATGTTTCAACAGAATGTGGTTCTAGTAAAAGGATAGACTACCTATATTTGAAAAGACAATGGAAGGAAAATCTAGAAAGATAGAACTTCCAAAGACACCAGATTTCACAAACGCAAGTAATTACCCATTGTTGAGACGGCTATGAATGTGGGGACACTGGGGCTGTTGTGACTGAAGCTGGTGACACTACAGTTGTAGGCAGTGGCAGGAAGGAGGCTGGAGATGGTCACAACGTGGGAGGAAACAGCAATTGGTTCCTGGAGATGCAGAGCACAAGATGAGTGTCATATTATCTTCATCTGTTTTGTGTTTTTTTAGTCTGTTCTTCAGAGTTGAGTGGGTAATACATAAACAGAGTAAAGCGTTTAAAAGATGCAAAAGGACAGCAGTGAAAAGTAAGTTTCCTTCTTTCCCTATTTTCTATCTACCCAGTTCTCCTCCACAGAAGGTGCCGTTGTTGTCAGGTTTTTTTTTCCTTCCCATCTATATTTTATGGATGTGAAAACATAAGGTACAGCTAAGCAAAACCTAAGTGAGAACATGGTTTGCATGTTTTACCTTGGTTATCAGTATATTTTGGTGCCCTTCTCACATTAGCACAGATAAAGCTGATTCATTCTTCTTAAGGGCTGTGCAGGAATTCACTGAAATGACCTACTTTATTTAACCAGTCCCCTCTTGAGGAATGTCTCAGTTGTCTCTGATTTTTTTACTATTACGAACCATGCTACAGCAGACAAATTTTAAATTATGAGAACAAACATATATGGACACACACACGCTTAATACACATATGTGTATATGCATGTACACACGTAGAGATTCATACACAAAACCTGTGTGTGTGTGTGTGTGTGTGTGTGTGCAAATGCGTGGATGTACATACAGATGTGGGTATTCATTTTGCCTCCAGCTGAATGATGGGCCCAAAAGTTGAATATTTTTCAAAATTTTGAAATCTATTGATAGATTGTCTTCTTTTAAATTTTTCATTTTTTGAAGATTTTATTTATTTATTTGAGAGAGGGAAAGAGAGAGAGCATGACTGGTGTGGGGAGAAGCAGAGGAAGAGGGAGAAGCAGACTCACTGCTGAGCAGGGAGTCTGATGCAGGACTCGATCCCAGGACCCTGGGGTATGACCTTAGCCCAAGGCAGACACTTAACTGACTGAGCCACCCAGGTGTCCCAACAAATTCTCTTCTATAGGCATTTTCCAAGTTTTCCTGCTGCATGTGATGCTGTGTGACAACATCTCTTCTCCTACATTCCTTCCAATCTATCTGTAAACTCTTTGAGTTTTTCCAACCTAATTAGAGGAAATTGCACCTCATTGTAGATTCATTTTGCATTTCTTTTATTGTGAGTGAACTTGATCATCTTTCCATATGTTTAAGTGTCTTTAGTGTTTATTTCCTATGAAATATTTGTTTTGGGTTATTCGTCTGTATTTTTTCTATTTTTAGTTGCTCTTTGTATATTAAGGACACTATCCCCTTTGTCTGCATTCCCAGCTTTTAAACAGCATCGGCCAAAGTCACGGCAACTTTGTGTTCTCAAAAACATTTAATATTAACGTATTCTTGAGTAGAACAAATTGTTAATTTGATGGGCCAATGGTTAGACCAGTGACAACTACCACAGTACAATATGAAAATATGAGCCAGCATAACATTCTTTTCCCAAACAGGGATCTGAAACACTCCTGCCTAAAGAGATGAGAGCCATCAGCACTTATTTCCAGTTCCACCTCTTTTACTCATCTATAAAAGAATGATTCTAAGGAAAGACTTTTGCTAGCAAGACTCTGTTATAGTAAGTAGCTGCATAACCATTGTTTTCTTAAGGGGAGGCATTACTGTAGGTGCAGAGAAGAAAATCCGCTAATGGCAAAGCAGTTATTTGCAAAAAGGATTCTTAGAATAGGGGAAAAAAAAAAAAAAAGATGAGCTCTTCAATACAGATCAAAAAAGAGATAAGTTTGTACAAGAGAATATCAAAAGGAGAAAGAAATCAAAGCAAATTATCTTAACATTCATATGAAAAGATTTCTACTCCCAGAAATCCTTTCTTCTTTTTCAATCTCATGAACTGCATTATTTAAAAAGCATCAATTATTCATGTTCACAGAATTAGTCTGTACACTGCGTTCTGTGACATCCCTCACAAACTTGACCTTTCCCTTCCATGTCTGGCTATAAAATACTCCCCCCCCCCCCCCGTGGCTTTATTACCTTGGAGCTACTGGTTCTTCTCTCTCCTTCCTTTCAGTTTGACCTGGTGAATAACTCAGTAGTCATTCTCTCTGCTATTAGTTATTCTAAATCTTTAACAATCACCTCTCTCAGCCTTCATTTTCCCAAGCAAAATCGTCCTCCTTACTAACTAGAAACAGTCCCTTCTTTAAACTCTCTTAGTAGAATGGACCTCTCTATGGCACCTGCATTTTAACTTAATTACTTCTAGACTGATGCAATATCCATAACTACATGAAAACAATTTTAAAGTATTGACTCCACCATTTGTATTGCACATAGTGCCTTTCACATAACAGGCAATCAGTTCATATTTGTTAAATTATATTTTATATGGCAGTGTCTATCCCTTTGATCAATTTATTTGCAATAGGAAAAATGAACCCCTTTCAGTTTACAGTATGACCCAGGGCAACTAAGGATGAGGGACAAAAGATACATGCAGAGATGAAAATCAACACTGCAATTTGGCAAATTGGTTCTAATTTTTAAGGTTTGCCCTAAGCTGACTGTTAATTTCTATCACTGAAACACAAAAATGCACATGAACTTTTGTTTTTATTTTCTATAGTTTCAACAAATATAAGACTTTAATTTACTCAGATAATTAGCCTTAATCAAAATGAACTCAGACAAGGACAATCAAAAAGCACAGTACCTGGAGTTTTGTTTCTTGACTTGAGCCAACTTGTTGACAGAAGACTTCAAAGAAATCAGCTACTCCTTCTTCCACCCACAGCAAAGTCACTGAAGTCTGGGTTTTATTCACAGCAAACAGTGATTTCGGAGGAGCTGGTTCTGAGCAAAGGCAGAGTTTTAAAAAAAATTTCATTTAATTTAATACATTCTTTCTTCTTTCACCAATTGGCAGGATAAAACAGGCAAAAAAAAAAGTCCCAAATACAGGTAGTTAAGAAATGTTATGTTATTGTTATTGTAACAATAACATGATTTATTGTAATATTGAAATTTTATTTCGAGTTATTATAACATCAAAATGTTACATTACTCTTTTTGAAACATGTCCCAACACAGTCGTCATCTAACTTGGAAGGCAGAATAATTTGCCTTTTTCTTCCCCTTCCATTTTATACTTCCCTTTTTAGAACACTTCTGTTTTCTACTTCAGCTTTAATATATCAATAACCTATTAATAGTTTTGGTGTCATCTGCACTGGAGGTAAGCACTGCCTTGGTAGTAAAGAACTTTCTGCAGGAGAAACAAAAATCTATACTTGAATGGCTGAAAAAAAATGAATGAAAGTGGTTTGCTCCCATCTAATGGAGACATTCAGTCTGGTACTTAGCCAAAAGCCTGTCTTCCTTTTCTGGAGACTATTTGGAATAATTCAATCCAAGGAATGGCTTCTTGAAAATTTAGTCAAAATTAAGAGGGGTAAAGCTAAGTAGATAGGATTTTTTTTTTTTTTAAAGAAGAGGATTAATGGAAGGCGACTGGATGGTTAATAAAATGTTAGAGGACTGATTTCTTTATCTTTTTCTTTTAGACATTTAATCTTGATCTATAAATTAATCCATTAGTCAAGCAAACTGTGCCCCTTCGTAGTCATTTCCAGTAAGTGAGTCACGGGATTTGTTGGCTTGAAACCAAACCCCTGCCTGTTCTCCAGTTTTAGGAAATGGTCTTGTGTCTTGTTCCCCTATACCTGAATCTCTCCTACTCTCCTCCCTGTGCCCGGTCATTTGGGTGTTGTCTTTCTCTTGAATTCCTCTAGTGCTCAAAGTGCTACACTTGAACCCAGGTGCTTCAGCCAGAGTCCTTGCTACCCTCTGTCAGTATGTCCTTGTTTGGACATACTATGGCTAGCTGTTGGGTTCAGAGAACATCATACTCTGCCATTGTGCGTGCCCTGTCAGACAACTACACACGCTGCGTGTCTGTTACTTGGATTCCTTTTAATTATTTGTCCCATGCTTCCAAGTCGGTTCCTTAGCTCCTGGATATCAGCAGTGCTTGAAGAAGCCCTTGGAGGCCACTCCACTCCTTTGACATGTATGTCCATGATCTCTGTGTGGGAAGGTCTGGACCTTCTTTCTAGAATATCATCATCGTGGCCCTATTCAGAAGCATGTAGTATGTTAAACCATCCTTCCTGTGATTTATCGCAGGCAACTTAAATTTGTGTCCTACTAAAAAGAAGCAATTATCTTTCCAGAGACAACTCGATGATCTTTGGCTGAAGAGTTGAAGGAGGAGAGGGTGCGGGGGTTGTCTTGTGCAGGCGTAATTCACAACAGATGTCAGGACCCCTTTCTCGTTTGCAATGAGTCGTCCACTCCCCAAACGTACTGTGTATCATTTCACTTCCCCTCTGATGAAAACTGTTGATGAAACGTGGGGTCAGCTTCCACTGCCCACATCCTTTATAACTGTCACTGTGAAAAGGGATGAGTCAGAGGGTAGGTCCTCCAGTGATTCTGACTCACACAGAACTTGAATCTTTGGAAGCAAGTGTGAGGTTGTCTGGGGCAGAGATGGATGATTTTTAGGCTGAATCTTGGTTGTTTCTCTTTCCAAAACACACCCTCACAGTGAATATCTTGCAATGATTAGATTCCCTAGGACATCTATGTATTTTTTTTTTTTTCCTGATGGGTAGATAAACTCAGGTTAGCTATCCAATGTGAACAATGCCCAAGTCCTGATCTCCAGCTCCCACCTTTTACCCATGTACTTCCAATCACCTACCATCCGTGTTTCCTCCATGAGCAACCCCATTCATTCCCTTGTCGGGGCCAACAATCTTGAGGCTCTCCTCTGGCTTCTCAAGTTCAGAGAACATATTATTAAATTCTTGTCATCTCTTCCTTGTGTCTATTCTTTTTATTATATTGCATGTTCAGGCTTTTGTCATCACACTTGATCAATCATTACAACAGATTCTTCATTCTTTTTTCCTGCTTTTAATCAGTTCTTTCTTCATTTGTCAACGAGGGCTTAAATCAACTTGAAATACCACTTTGCTCATGTTAAGTCCTATCTGGGTAATCATCTGTTGTGATTGACGTCTACTGCATCAAATTCAAATATGCCAAGTTTTAAAGATCCTACTTACATTGGCCACAGGCCACATGTTACCTATTCAGCTTCACCACTGTTCCCTGCCCACCCGGTACAGCCAGTTTTCTCACTGACTATCATACAAGCAGTACTCTTTCTCAACTCAGTATACCTTTTCTTCTGCTTGGATCATCCTAAAATCAGGAAAAAGACTTCTTCTCCCTGAATTCTTATCTGTTGACTCTGTCTCTTGATGATCTATCCCTTCTCTGACCTTCTATTACCCTATTTGATCTATGTGAGGAAAGGCCAAATCTCCTAGGTCCTACTAGATGCTTTAAGAACAGGGGCCATGTGTTATAAGTTATTTTGTTTTCACCTTGAACAAGACACCTGCAATTGTTCAATAAATCTTCTCTATTGGCTTATTTAAACCATAAGTCAAGATTCATTAATCAGAGTTATTAGGATTTAAGCATCAGGCAAGACCAGGCACATTGGGGCTATAGTTTGATGTTCTCTGTCTTTTTACAGTGATCATATTGGTAAAATTATCAGCTGTCAGTGTCATGAATTACAAGTGTTCCCAGTGGTGCCAAGAATATGACTCGAATACTGGAGTAGCAGTTTCTCTGGGTCTGGCTAAAAAAATGTGGATCTAGGTGATAAGTAGGATCCTCGGGAAAATCTCCAAAAGGTCTGGGACCTTTACCAGCCACATAACAAAGTTTTCTTTTCAAGTGGTATATAGGGGCAATGGATTATTCCAAGGTCACTGTACCCATTATCACTGTATCCTTTTCTGAAAGACATATGCATTTTAGCTCCTTAGGTCAACGAGTAACATACACAAACGGCCTGCTTAAGGGCAGTTAAGGATCTCTGTGACAGGTATATTTCCTTACATGTACTGGGGAGAAATTGCACCAACTATTCCAAAGGAAACAAAGAAAGTCATTGCAATATTTCATAAGTGGAGGTGTAACTGGATTGGGAAGGGCTTCTAATTAAGTTTCACTACTCAAGACAACATCTGCCCCAGGAAATGTATTAAAATCTTAGAACTATACTGTGCAACACGGTAGCTATTACCACATGTAGCTATGGAGTACTTGAAATGTGGCTAGTCTACACTGACAGGAGCTACAAGAGGGAAATACAGATTGAATATTGAAGATTTAGTATAAAATAAGAGTAAAGATATTTCACATATAATTCTTTATATCAATTCCATGTTAAGATGATACTGTATTGATGTATTTGGTTAAATAAGGTACATTAAACTCAATGACACCCAGCTCTTAATATTTTTTAATGTGGCTATTAGAAAATTTAAAATTACATCTTCGGCTCTCATTGTATTTCAATTATACAGTACAGGGTTAGAGCATTCCTTCCTGTTTGGTAGAGCAGAAGTGTGGAAATTCTTGGCAGAAGCTGGTTGGAGGTTCCTCCCTTCTGTTATCTAGCTCCTCTCCTAAGAAGGCAAAGTCAGCTAAACTCTGTAGCCAAACATGACTTAGATGATTCCTCTTTCCCATCCTTGGGCACAAGACCAGAAGGGAGTCATGGCTAAATATCATTTTTAAAAAGATATTACTTATTTATTTGACAGAGAGCGAGAGAGCAAGAGAGAACGGGCACAGAAAGAGGGGAATCAGCAGAGGGAGAGGGTGAAGCACTCTCTGCTGAGCAGGGAGCTTGATGGCGGGGCTTGATCCCAGGACCCTGATCATGACCTGACATGACAGACACTTAACTGACTGAACCACCAGGCACCCCAGCAGTGTCTAAATATTGCAAAAGCCTTTTTGTTGGTCTGTGTCTCTGTTATGGGATGAATTGTGTTCACCCAAATTCCTAGGTAGAAGTCTTAAGCCCCAGTACCTCAAGAATGTGAATGTGGTTGGAGATAGGGCCTTTCAGGAGGTAAGTTAAAGTGAGGCCCTTAGGTGGACTTCAATCCAATCTGACCATCGTGCTTATAAGAACAGGGAATTTGGACAGACAAGGAGAAACCAAAGACAAATGGGAACAGAGAAAAACCATGTGAGGTCACAGCTGGAAGGTAAGTTCACCTGCAAGCCCAGCAGAAAGGTCTCAGAGAAACCAAATCTGCTGATACTTGCAATTTGGACTTTTCGCCTCCGGAACTGTGAGAAAATAAGTTCCTGTCCATCGAGCCACTCAACCTGTGACATTTTGTCAGGGAAGCTCTAGCAAACGAACACAGTTCTCTTACTCTTCAAAATATCAAATCCAGCCCAGCTCATAAAAGGGAGGGAGAGGAAGGCCTCAAAGATGTTATGAAGAGTAAATGAGCTTTAAGATAACATACCCAAAGTCACTTTTGAGAACATAGAGAGCCAGGAAGATATGACTTATAGAACATCCTCTGGCTAGCACTTTCTACTTCTCAAAATGACATCTTAACATTAACTTCTTCAAAATTCCCAGGCTTCGTAATGTCCGATTTCCTTTTGTTTAAAATCACTCTGGAGTCCATGATATTTGATGCGAGAACCCATGGAAATGGGAAAAGGAGACAGATGGACTCTTTTCAAAACAAGGTACAGATATGGGGTTGTTGGCTTTAAAATATTCTCTAAGAGCTTTCTAACTTTGCTTTCTAACATACTCAACTGTTCGACCCTCTTCTTTCCTTCTCTTTCCTTTTCAATTCCTCTCCTATTTGAGTGGGGAATCCAACTTAATTTTAGGCACAGAACATGGGAAGAAAGGAAAGCTGTAAGGCTATCTCTACATTTAATTTAGA